GTTTGGAGCTGGCGCTGACAGAAGCCTCCGAGGTTCAAGCTAGGGACTTCCTGTTTTTTGGAGGGGTGATGGATAGGCGGGTATTGTTGCAGAGGGGAACCACAGCTTATCAGTGTGGTTACCAACTTGTAAATGGGAGCCGACGAAAGAATAATACAAGGAGTCGATTGTGGCACTTAACAGGGGAGGCTGTTGAGGTGAAGATGGAGAGATGTGAGTGAGTTTCCTCTGGGTGGTTAAGGTTCACAATTAAAACATGTGTGAAATGGACGAATCCTCTGGGACTTTCTCAAATCTTGGTATTTCGTTCCACATCCCGCTTGCTTAACCCTTAATTCCAACCTTAACCTTACCCGTAACTCTTTCTCACACCTTTGAATGAAAAAAAAAAAAAACTGGATGTTTCCCTGTCTGAGATGAAATACCAAGATTTTTAGTGAGTCCCCTAATCCTCCAGCTATAGATACCAAGGGGATATTTAGCAGCACTAGTGTAAAGTATTTTCAACACTCTATTTCAATGCAATTCCATTTATTTATGCACAGCCCTAAATCACAGCAGTCGTCCCCGGAGGATTTCACAAAGCCGCTGACTCCTCAATAACAAATCAGAGAATGAAACATTTCAAAGACAAGAAATGCAAGATAAACAAACATCGGTCTGGCCATAAATGTCAATAAATGTTCATAAATGTCCCAATGATCATCACTGTCCTTAGACCATTCTGCATCGACAAGGAGCAACTAAAAATGCAGTTTGAAGACAGTGTTGTTCATCTTTCTTGTGCAAGTATCCATTTGCAGGTCTGATGGCGAGACAGTTTTAATAAGTCGTTGTTGTTTTGGAAACATACAGTTAAGGCTGAAAATCATTCAGAGAAAAGGACCGGGGGAGAGCAGTAACCGGGTCTGGCAGAAGCACAGACAAGCTTCTCAGGTCACCATCTCTTTAAAATCAGGAATTATTCCACCTGCACCGCTGTCGGGGCTTTTCTTCCCCTTCAGCTTAAACGTACATCTCCCCCCTAGAGATAAAGCTATGCCATGTGCACTTTACTGATGCACACATACAGTATCTGTAGTTTCCTGGGCGGAACATTCGCTTCTCAGCAAGAAAGTCGAATCGCGGTCGTAACAGGGCCTTTCTGAGTAGAGTTTGCATGTTCTCCCCATGTCGGTTTCCTCCAGGTGCTCTGGTTTCCCCTATCACTGAAAATGTGTCTGTCTGTCAGTGTGTGTAGAGAGACTGGAACAATATTTGAACTCTGAACATTGTGAAGTGCTTTGGGTGACCTCGGTCTGTAAAAAAGCACTATACACATAAAGATTTACTTATTAAAAGAACATTTTATTGTGTCTGTATTCGAGCCATCTCTCCAATGCCGCTAGTGCCATGCCTTGGTGACTATCTCAAATATTTGTCTAAATGTTATCCCTATCTCTCTCACGCATTATAACATGTTTTAAGCCCATAGTTTCCTCCCAAACCTCCATATTTCTGCAGCTTTAGTAGCAGTGAGCAGTGATGAGTGTCTTCCTTCCTCCTGCTCTGACCACTGCCCCCCCGTGGTCATCGTGGTCACCGTGGTCACCGCCTCTGATTGTCTACGGGTTCTCAGTGCGTCACTTCTAGTCCAGGTGTTGGCAATTTACTCGAAAGTCCAAACAAACTGCAGCCAGAGTTTTACATGTTCTTCTTCTAAAATAGACCAGAAACAGCTGCCGAGCATTTGTCAGCGCGTGGTTTTGTCATGTTTCCTGCAACAGTCATTCTGTCACATGAGGCTTGAACTCCCACTGATTCATTACAGTTACTATTGGCTCAAGCTGTGTGTTTGGCCAAAAAAAAATAGTGCATTATTCAGCAATATCTGAACGGTAAATGCGATAAACTCACGACAATACAAGAACACGTACCAAATACTAGTGCCATGTTTCATCACAATAACATCCGATATCATTACTAACAATATATGAAGTAGAAGAAGAGAATGGCTGATTTTTAATTACTTTCTGGGGGAATTCTGCTCTGGCAATTACAGATGTATTGTAATTTTGTGCACATTTCTCAGTTATCATGTATGGGATAGAGGCAAGGTGAGGCAAGTTTATTTGTTAAGCACATTTCTCACACATGGCAACTCAAAGTGCTTAACAACACCCACGTGAGGCATTGAAATCATATATAATCACAGTACATGATACTGTGATGATACTTCAGTTATGCACAGCTAAACAGAACTGTTTTAACCCTGGATTTGTACACTGTCAGAATAGAAGCCTGTCTCACATTTTCAGGAAGACGGTTCCAAATCTCCCCACGTTTAGTCTTGACTCTGGGCACCAGCAGGAGGCCAGTCCCTGTGCTCCTCAGAGTCAGAGTTGGTTCATTGCTCTAACATGTCACAGATGTAATTTGTTGAAAAGATTAAAAAAAAGATTATTTGATCTGCCACAAAGACTTGGACAAAGTATACCTATTCCAACTAATTAGAGCAATATATAAGATAATACAATTAACATGGGACCTTCTTTGCAGCGTATACATTAAAATACATTTAAATTTGGATTCATTCTTACACATTTACACATGTCTTTTAAACATGTACATGCATCGTTATATGCATTTACACTGAACAGATATTCACGAGAGTAATAATACATAACATATGCCAGAAACGTTATACGCAGTTCGAAAAGGGAGTGAGAAGAAGTAAACATAGCAAATCCATGAAACATGTAATTTACAGTTGCATATAAAAGCTTTAAAATTAGGGGCAAGACACAGTAACATCCGGTTAAATCCCAGTCTGGCAGCTCGGTCAGTCCCTGCGCAGAAGCCTTTGATATTTCCATTCATAACCGTGCTCCTATCAGCTCTCTACACAAGTTCAGCCAAAGGTAAAATGTAGCTTTTCCCATATTATCCTCAGCAGAGACAGTTTGCCTCTTATGCAAATGAGATAAAGAACTGTTTTTACCGCTCTTTCCTCAGCGCAGGCCAGACGAGAGAAAGAGAAGCCGTGCTACAGAGTTTAAGGTTAAACCAATTAAGCTGCCTGGCTGCTACACAAAGACGTTTCAGTGTGCCCATGCAAGAGTTTGTGCGTTTGCGAGTTTAATTTATAGAGCATAGAGCACAGGGAGGGATATAGGGACAGGGGGCTTTACGGCTCTCTCCATTGAGGGCCTTGAATTAGCCTCCGCTCGTCCCCTCGCCTGTCCTATCAGGGAGGGAGGGAGCGAACCATACAGGCCTACATTCAATTAGCATATCATTATGTTGCCATGGCAGCCGAGGTTTAAAGCCGCACCAATATGTCCCTGTTGGGTTGCAACTAAATGCATGAATTGTTGTACATGAAAAAAAAAACAACGGTTGTTTCTCGGTTCTTTGCTTTTTTTAGTAGGTTTTTATTATTCCTGAGGCCCGTATGACAGAAAAGCCATGTGAATACAAAGAGAATGAGATGATTGTTAATATGTCCCAATGCGTCGCAACTGGTCAAATTTAAATATATGCCCTTTATGGTTTATGCATGTTTAGTGAGGGTATTTCAGTGGATCGATGGAAGTTAAATGGGAACGCTGTTAATATTAAGAGATTGGGGAAATTTCAGTGTTGCATTGAGAGTTGCAGAGAAGTAGGAATGAGGAGCACACAGCACAAGTCAATATTAAGTACTGTGTTGTATAGTGTGCTATACAACTCTATACTTTAAAAAAATAAAATATAATTTCAATCTTTAGCTTAGTAAAGAAGTTGACTTATTCTATGGTTGTAGATACTGTGGATTCTTTGAAGGATCTATTTTTTGCTGCTTTGCCTTTTGCTGTCCAGAGAAAACTCGTTCGAAATTCCATTTACTGACAACGTGAAACTAACACCCCTAATACACGCCTTATTTTGTATAATGTTAATAATTTCCTCATTGCAACTTTATTAAAATACTGATTTGGAAATGGACTGTAAGCCATAATCAGCTAAATTAAAACAAAGACTTGGCATACCGCACTTTACGTGTAATAGGTCTTTATAATATGTTAAACATTTTAGGTTCATTTACAGAAATACATGAGTTTCCTCTGTATGCAATAAAAGTACATTCTCAACACATACTTTGAGTTTATTTAATATTCTAGTGTCTAGTTTTGATATCAGTCAATAAAGTTCTAGATATGTCAATATCCATGTTTATTTGTTTAATTCAACAAAAAACGTTTCTGCTTCAGCCCCACGGTTGCTGGAATATGCACACAAATGATCAGTCAGAAGAGAAACGAGACACTGTCACACTATATGTATTTTGAACTCAAAGACCCAACGCTTGCTGAACAAGAGAAAAAAAAAATCTATACTTTCTCCAACTGCAATATGTGAGTTCTTCACAGTAAATTTGCCTTTGAAGATAAACCCACTGAAGCGCACCCTGCCCCTATATTTTTATATAGAGGCAGACGCCGATTGAAGTTCTTCTGGTCTCATACGACTCTGTAAAGTCTGGAACGGAGAGAACACGGAGCGAGATAGTCCGTCATTCTTTCTTTTTGTATTGGATCCTATGTCGTTCCTGTTAGAGCTGTCAGATTTATTATTTCAATATTTTCCTAAATTTCTTCCCCCTGACTTCTTTTCCTGTCAACTTCAGTGGAAACTCAAATTGGCTGAGTTCGCACACTGGTTTCTCCACCCACTTATAAGCGCACGATTTTGCACACCTCGCCTGTTTCGGAAGCACATCCTCTGCCCACGCGTTCCTCCGTCTCCAAACTGTTTAAATATTGACTTAATTTTCGCCAACATGTTTTGATTATCCCAAAGTTTGAGGTAAAAAAAAGAGTAGGACTTATAGCTCATCTCTCTTGCCTTCACCTTCTCCCTCTCAAACCTCTGGAGCCTGCACGGATGGGATAGAAGTGCCTCTACTGACACCAAGTGGAGGAAAAGTGTATTTGTATGAATATGGGAAATTATAATAATGGTGTTTTCTTGTGTTTTAGGATGCCACTGCACAAGTCCAATTCTGAAGATGGATCTGGAGGTACTTGTAAAAATAAATATTATGTATGGATTTATTAGATATTTGACACATTGTATGCAAGCATCGTTTTCTAGCCAGGAAACAGAATCCAAAATACAGTATGACGAGAGGACATATAGATCAGATAAAAACAAAATCTATAAAAAAAAATTGTGTGTCTTTGTGCGTATGTGTGTGTGTGTCTGTGTGTGTTTCATGCATTAAAAGGGGGTTGCTAACTTTCCAACCACAGAAAACTGTCAAAAGAGTTTGGTTGTATCACAAATTTTCTCATGCATGTAATTTTTGGCCTCGGTCACATCTTTAGATCAGCTTTACCAGACAGAAAACATTGTGCTTTTATCTGTTGGGACAAACAATATGCTTTTTCATGAGGGAAAAGTTGCATACCCCAGCTTTAATTCAGCCTATTTAGAAGAGTTTTAACTTGAATGCCTTGGATGGATCGATGAAATAAAACTTGTCATAGATTTTAATTTGTGACCACAATTTTTTCCCCAAAATCTTATTGCTTTAAAAGCTGTGTTCTAACTGTTTGATTCTCTGATACGATGTCTCTGAATAAACACCTTTGCGAAGTCGATTCACCGTTGACTGCTGTAGTGATTTAAGGCTGCACAAAAATACATTGAATTTCATTATTTTCTACAGGTAAATGGGACAACAAGAAGAAGAACAAATCCTTTTGGCAGAACTTTCGCAAGTCGCAGCACAAACCTGTCGTTCGGCAAACATCGAAAGGTATTTTTTTTAGAATGATTCCACGCTTCAATTCCACAGTGCACCATGTATTGTTAGCTTACCGTTTGCCTTTTTGCCGTTGGGAACACTGGGGTAGTCTTGCACAGTTTTTTCCAATGTGGTTTTACTGCAAATGGCAAATCAATTCCTGAATCTTGAATCTTGAAGGAGAGGACATCGGCTACGTGGCGAGCGAGATCACCATGAGCGACGAAGAGCGCATCCAGCTGATGATGATGGTGAAGGAGAAGATGATCACGGTGGAGGAGGCTCTGGCCCGGGTACGAGAAGCTTCCTCTTCCTCGTTCGTGTCATTTCAACAACTTTCAACACCTTTTTCCATGACTCTATTTCACATTACCATCCTGCTTTCTAACTTATCTCACTCATACTAACTCCACAAAGGCCATTCTGCGTAACCGGCGTTGTCTTTGCAAAGATGCAGCAGTTGTAGGCTGGATAGTGCTTTTTAGGTTTAGAGGATTTGGGATTTCAGTGCCTGTGTGTGTGGGTGGGTGTGTGAGTGCGTGCGTGTATGTGGGTGTGTTGCTTCAAGTCATTTGTCTTTTGATTTGTCAGAAAAACCTCCATGTGGCGAGACACATGTGTTCCTGGGCGTCGCCGGGCTTTTCTTTCACTCGACGACGGATCTCATTCGGCTTTTGTTTCCCTTTTTAATTTCTGTCTGTCATTCATTTTTGCGAAGAATGAATGGAAATCTATTTTTCTTTTGGCTTTTTGTGAGTAATCATATCGTCAGCGTTCGCGGCGTTGGTGTTGCTCTCCACAATGCCGATCTGTTCAGTCTCCTATTGGCTGAAATATGCTGCCCTGATTTTGATTGACACATGGGTAATCCAATCATAATGAGACAATCAAAGATCAGCTCTTGTGGATAGTGTGGGTCATACGTTTTGTCATGATTTGGGTTCTCTCGTAACACAATCAGTGTGTGTCTGTTGTTGATCAACGTTTTTCTAGAAATCTATTAGAATTTTTCTTTGTCCAATCATTTCATTTTTCAGGGGAATATTGTGATTTGAAAAACACACAAATTATACTTTTCCTTATGTCCAAAGTATACAATTCTCCCGCCAACATGTCTAAACAATTATTCTTGGAGATACACAGATTTGGACTATACGAAAGTTCTAAGTACAAAAGTTTAAAATAATGTACAACGTAACTATAACCAAAAATTTAAGTATTATTTTCAATCAACAAAACATTTCCTTCCCAAGAGCAGACTCTCCTCACCTCACACCTGATCAGCTAGTTTCCATGGGAATGTTGTCATTTGGATTAAAATCTTACACATTGTGACATGCTTAAAATCCCATGGACTAAAAAATAGTCACACACTGCCAAATGTACAGATCACTAAGAAATAATCCCATCAGAACATAGCCATTGAAGCCATCGTCATGTTCTCTAATTTATCATTTAAATTATGCATGTATTGGTTTTGCCACATCCACACCAACCCCTCATACAAATTCACGCTCAAACGATTCTCAATGATCACATCAAGTACATTCGTTCACAACATCACACTGGCCTAATGGAGACATGTGTGGCCTCTATGCTTTGGTGAGAGTGGTGGTCCCGCCCTCCTCCTCTCTCCCTCTCTCTAAACTCTTCTTCTCCTGTAGCTGAAGGAGTATGAGCTCAACAAACACACTGCCGAAGGGCCGGAGGGATGTGCGCCTGCCCTAACCCAGTCCTCCACCTGCGACGTAAGTACGCTCCCCCCGCGTTGCGCACCCTCATGTCTGTCACGCCCACTCTGACCTGCTGTGCGAGGGGCCGGCCTGTTGTGTGGATGGATGAGCCCAGATCCCTGATTATGTCACATGTGGGTCTGTAACACTGCTGAGGACATTGTACTGGTGTCGCTGGGACGTGAAAGATTCTGTGAACTTTAGTGAACTGTGATGATTCTTTGCTCAAATGTCGACGCTTTTATTACAGTAAAGAAAGACACCAAAGATGAGCCTCTACAAATGCTTTCTTGTGATGAACCAAACAACCTAACTTCTTTCTGATTTATATTTCAACGTTTTAGATTACAATGTTTGGATGATTATTGAATGTTGCGATTTTTCTCCAGATTAGTTTGTTTGTTTTCTAGAATGCAGATTTGGGCTGTGCTGCAAAATATTCTTTAATTTATTTTTTTATGTATGTGTGTGTATACATACATACATACATACATACATACATACATACATACATACATACATGCATGCATGCATACATACATACATACATACATACATACATACATACATACATACATACATACATACATACATACATACATACATACATACATACATACATACATACATACATACATACATACATACATACATACATACATACATACATACATACATACATACATACATACATACATACATACATTTCATCTTCAATAAATACAAAATATATGCATCAATAGTGGTATTTTTGTTAAAATGGGGCGGGACGTTTGATAAGGAGCCAAATCATAGTGTATTGTTTAGAAAAATATCGTAACCTATTGAATATTTGCGATCCAAGATTGTTTCAGCCCAAGATTCAATCTTTTGGCTTCCACTTCTTGGTAAATCTGCAAAAGTATGTTCCTGAATGCATTGTCTTAGTTTCAGATGGTCTTTCTTTAGATGTTGGAATCCTTTAAATTAAAATGCAAAGCTGCAATGTTTTTGCTTGTTCCAATCCCATTCTGCAGTATTTAGCTGATCATTTCGGCCGCAATTGACCCAAACCAGGCGCATGTTTCTGCATTTCCACTTTTCATTGACCTAATGCCGTACGGGCGTCATGCGGGAATGGTTTACTGAAATAACATTATCCTATATAGACTGACCCACTTTTTCTGCACACAAAATCCCTTTAGAGAGGATTTGAGAAATGTATTTGCCTTTAGTGCGTATGTAGAGTATAGGTGCATCTTGGGCTCTCGTGAGTTCCAGTTAGAAACATAAAAATGCATTTGTAAAGATGTACAAATACAGAAACAATACAATTACATTACACACATTACATTTTGTGCAAATAGCCCTGAGCCATAAGGCAACTATACTGGTGAAAAATCAGAACTGTAGTCCATTTAGTTCTATATGTCAATGTTCAATGTGAAACTTGTAAATGACTCATAACCAGTGGGGGCGGGTCCCGGCTCAAAAGTGGCCAAAATGACGTGCTTGCAATACCACCCCGGGCCGATGAGGGTGGACCCAGAAGAAGAATTAACCAATGCTAACATATAGCATTGGCAGACCTCTCAAAAACGTCTTTACAGGATGGACCAAAAGTTGGCTCTTGGCCCAAAGCTCCGTTCCACATGTGTGTCAATGCTGAGGGGGGTGGATTTTTTGTGGTCCACTCTAGTTTACTTGCTGTGAATTTTTGAAGTCTCTCGTTCCAATGAATGGAGCTGCGCCGGCTGACGCATGTGCAGATGCGTTTTTTCACAATTTTCCTGTGGGCGGGACCACTCGCGGCCATTTTGGATTGCTCCAGTAGAGCACATTTTTTGGCCCATTAGTTAGAACGGCGGAGATAGGCGTGACTCTGTCCATTAATATAAACAGTCTATGCTCATAACGTGAGATATATCAAGCCTTTATTTGTTATTATGTTGATAATTGGCTCCAGGTGAATTTCCAAGTTTTTCACAAGCCTGGTTTAATAATAATCTATAATAAAACGGACGTTTCTCTCCAATGGAAGCAGGACATGTTATTGGTACACAGGAGAAACGTGTTATATTAGAATAATGGCCATGTGAAATGGGGAAAATAAACTAGATCAAAGTGATGTTGCAAAATGTCAAGAGAGGAAAAGTTCTTTAAATAAGTGTAAAAACTTGCACATTTCTTAGGATGAATCAAATAATTATAAAGATTTGAAAAAGTATTACGATTTGCAACACGGAAAATTAGAACGTCATTCAAAAGTCAATTTACAGACTGTACTCAAAGTGAGCCTTTCCTTGTTATAATGTTGATGCCAGCTTTTTAAAACTGGGAATATTTTGACTGTAGGCCATAATCATCAAATACATATAACATAAGCAACTTTGCATGTGATGACTCTGTTTCATGTTCTGGTTTGGATTGAATTTATTTTTGGTGGATTGATTCGATTAATTTCAGATATGACATTCACTGACAGTATCACAACCCATGAAAAATATTTATAAAATCGTATTACATGGAGAATAAATACGTATTAGATTGAAATAAATGCAGTTCTTTTTTAAAGCCATCAGTCGTTCTGTGCGATTACCTTTGATTTCCTTTGATTTCCTTTGATATGGAAATTACATTCATTATCTGTTTTCAACTTTCTTCGTTTCAACTTTATAACGTGGGGGTGGTGGTTGATTTCTAATTCATCCGGTAACCCTCTCCTTACCCCTCATTCCGCTGGCAAGTCCCCCACTTCCTGCCGTTAGCTCTCAAACATTTATCACTCGAGGCTTCTTCGAGCAGAGAAATGTAACTTCACTGAAGCCGCATTGTTGTAAGGAGCGCATAGTTTTGGCCCTTGGAGACCGCAACGCAATGTTAAAGAAGGGGAAAAAATAGACAGAACCCCAGGACTTCCCCTAGAATTCTCCTAAAATCCTAAAGAAAATAGCTTTATGGTGTCGCATATCGTCTGCCCCTGGTTTGAAAAGATGTTCACTGCAAAAAAGGATAGAATATGAGGTAATACTTGCTGTAATAAAGTGGTTTTTATCTTAATTTGAATACATTCTGACTGTGGGACAAGATGGGACAAAGCCATTTAATCTTAATTCAAGGACTGTTGTTTTATTTTATGATTCCAAGGGAGGCATTTCTTGTATTTTTTTTTTTTAAACGAGATCATTTTGCTTGTCCCAATGATGAGTCTTATTTCAAGGCAGTCAAAAATGTGCTGAAATAAGCGTACATTTTGCCAAATTCAAGTAATTTTTGACATATTTTTTTGCATCAATTTTTGCAGTGTTGCGCTAGCCTTTTGTACGTATCCTATATATACTGTACATATGCAGACATGTATACAGCACAAGTATACAGGCCTGGTGCTGTGTCGGCTCCCGTCTGCCTCTCGGTGCATTCCTCAGTGGGACATTAGCGTCGCAGGGGCCACCACCGGGTCACGGGGCTCAAACGCCAGGATTGTTCTCCCGGCACAACACGCCTTTTCTCTGCTGGCCCCCGGCGGCACGGCTCCTCCGCACACTCTCATTCCTCAGAACTGAGCGATCGGAGACGAAGGCACGCACCATGTTGACAAGAGCGCACGCACAAGTCGTCAATGAGTCGCTGTGGATTTGATGGTGCGGCAATAGGTGTTGTAGCATCCGTCATGTAAGTAACTTTCTCGGGTAGCTAATTTTTTGTTTTTGTGTTGTTTGTCTCAACAGAAAGAATCTTGTATAAGTGAATTTTAAGAAACTGTCACTATTTGACGCTTTGGGCCGAGAGCTGAATGTGGTTCTCTCTTTTTCACTCTTTTAGTCTGAAAAACAACCTAAACATGTGACTAAGGCTAGAGATAGACAACTAGTGGTAGAAACACGAACTAGTAAAGATGGATTTAATTGCATAGTTATATATTTGTGGTGAGAAAGTGAGGTGTCCCAGCTTCTCGCAGGTCCATCCTCCCTGCTGCTGTCAGGCTGTACAACGAGAATGTATACCAAGAACTGCTGCTGGCTCCAGTATTGTACATCACTGTACCTTTCAAGTTCCCACCCGTTACTTCTGTCTGTCTCTTGAGGGGGAGGAGCTGGCATCTAAACAAAACAAAGAGCTATTATGCATGTTCTGCTTATCGCAATTCTTACTTTACAACTGTCAGCGATAATAATTCTCACTGACAAAGCTGTAAACATCTTTTCAACGTGTCTAGTGTGATCAAATGTCACATTTGCAGCTTGTAGTGTGCATGCATTTGCCCACTTGGTACGTAGGGGGGTTGTGGCATTATTTTTCATTTCTCACTCTTTGTGTTGAAGTATACATTTCAATACATACCTTAACTGCCAGAATATAATCTGCTATTATTTGGTTCCCTGCGACCTATGCAGCAATGCAGCCAATGTACGTTTTCTTATTGTATTAGGGCTCCCAGGATGAAATGAAGTTCCAGAGCGAATGACGTCGCACACATTCCCGCTTCCCGGTGGGTTTATGTGAATAGAGCAGATGGATCCGTCACAGGGAAGTGCTGGGAAATGATTGCGAGTCTAATTTGAGAGTCTGCATTCACAAAGATTCCATTCAATTCAAGTCAATTTATTCTTTTATAGCCCTAAATCTCAACAGCCGTTATCTCTCGAGGACTTTACAAAGTTGTCGGTTTGCCAACATCAGACAATCAAACAGTTCAAACACCAGAAATGCCGTAAATGTCCTTCAATATACTTATTTGTTTTTACCGTGAACCCTGTATGAGGTCGTATTTGGTCAATAGAAGAAGTGAAAAAGCCACTCGAGCCCATGGGATGCAATTTTTGATGAATGTTTTTCCTCCCTCCTCCGAGATAAGTCCCGATTGGCAGACCCAAGCCTGATGGAGGTGGCTCAGTGCCTTTTGTGAGTCAACACGCATTAGTTGTTAAAACCCCAATCGTTCAGCAGCGTTCATGCCAGCCCTGTGGTTTCTCTCTCTGCTCTCTCTGCACTTCGCTCTCAACCCGGGACGACAGAAAGCTGCGTGAAAAGCGGAAAAATAGACCCGACAACCTCAGCAGACTCGTGCAAACCAGAGAAGCCCCGTTTCCATGGAAACGCTGGGAGAAACAAATGAAAGTTGTTTGGAGTGCGTGCTAATGACAGTGGTGGGTTCCAGACCACATGTGCTGCCCTGTCTGCTGAGGCTCTCTGCCGGATGTGTGATATGATTGTCTGAATATTGCCGTGCGTGTCTTGGGGATGTGAGTCTTAATGGATACATAATTATACTGTCTATTTTCCCCATGACATGTACAAGTTGGGGCACCTAACTTTTTTTGTTTTGTGAGGAGTCCGTGTTGTTTGACCCAATAGAAAGAGTCTTGTAAAATGTAATAATCGCACCACTACATGCACTCTTCATCTCACGCAGAATGTCCGAGCACCTGTGGTCCTCTCTTTCTCGCTTTTCTGTCTGAAAAAAGCTGATCTTATGATGTGAAAACTAGTAAAGGAACCAAACTGTATAGAGAGCGAATACAATGGATTTTACATTTGTTTATGGTTTTAACACTAGAACTCCCAAAGCAGTCAATGTGGCGGCTTGTAGGTTTGTGCATTTTTGGTCTTCATAACTTTGTGACTTCTTTCTACATGTAGTTTATTTCTATGTCATTGTTATTATGAAATTATGTTTTTATTTTTGAAATTTCTGAAGATCAGCCTTTTTTGGTCACTTTTCCAGGTGCTAGTTCTGGACTAGTCAAATCAGCTTGGTTTTTCACCAGAGAAGCATGGATGCTAGTTACCTTAGCAACACATTGTTTACTTACAGAAGTTAGCATTTAGCCTTTTGCTGTGTTAGCACTCATTAAGATTAAAGACCTTATGCCAGGTTTAAAAAAAAAAAATGTGGATATCAAAATTGCACGACAATGTCGATCTGAAATAGATTCCGGCAAAAAAAATCCTTTATTTTATAAAAAGAACGTGTTTTTCATGAATTTAAGTTGTCTATGCTCTAACCTGTGTGTGACGTCATAGCGGGTTACGCCCATGCGTTGAAAACCATGGATCTATGCCACAGGACTGCCTTTTCTTTCTTCTCTCCACTGATGCCCAACACAATACTGCACTCTACAGGTGACAATTGCTCACTACACATAAATTGCCGTTTCGAGAGTGAAAATGTGGCCGAGCTGGGATTTGAACCCCATTATCTGGATTGGCAGTAGTAGTAGTAGTTGTAGTAATCGTAGTAATCTTTATTTATATACCGCCTTTTCACTGCACATCGGAGTCTCAAAGCGGTTTACAATTATGATTTTTTGGGAGCAGGGTCGCCAGAACAGGAGGCACATGCCAGACCCATTGTACATATTTTTAATGGTAGGGGAAACCGGAGAACCCGGAGGAAACCTACGCAGACACAGGGAGAACATGCAAACTCCACTCAGAAAGGCCCTGGTCCAACCGGGATTCGAACCCAGGACCTTCTTGCTGAGAGGCGAGAGTGCTATCCACTCAGCCACCGTGCAGTCCATCGACACAACCACTGGACTATCTCAGTGCCAACGAAATGTTACAATCTAGTAGTAATATCATACTCGCCTTGTCATCTTGAATATCCGCGAAAAAAGAACGAATACCAAATTGTAAACAACTTACAGCGTTGAAACGTACCCACTCTGACGTCACCAAGGGCTGTGAAGTTTTTTCGTCTCTAAGGGCGTTGCTATGGGGTTTTTTCATATTGGGGGGGATCAGACAAAAAAAACAACAACTGATTTTGAAACCTTTAGTAGTTCTCTTCTAATATAAAATGGTATTAAAACTGTATTTCTAAATAAATCAAACCCGGCATAAGGTCTTTAAGTATTAACTTTTAATAAATCTAGTGAAAAACAAAAAATTATTCTGAATTCCACTAGGACTAGGACTGCCTCCAATCAAACCAATAGAATTTTGAGAAATTCTGCAAAAAAGTGATTAGTTTACATTGGTTTTACCTTTACTCACTGGTAATAAGTGAGTAAAAAACTGGTGAATATAGCCCTATTCGGACGGGATTAATCGCAGAGGGCGTCTGTGATTTGTCCCGTGCGAATGCGCCATGTCTGTAATTTGTAAAGTAATAATTCCGCCGCAAATTACCTCCTGTATTTGTCCAAACACAGGCGTCCTCTGATAATACTAATCCCGTGCAAATCTGCATGTCAGTGATTGCTATTGCCGCTTTCTCTTTACTTTCTGCGTTGTTTCGCAGAGTCGCGTATTACGGCTGTGTACACAGCTGCAGAGTCGTGGCTGCTGCTGTCTCTGTGAGGTCTATGGAGAAGTGTAGAGGACAGTGTAATGTGTTCACTGACACTAAATGATCAGACCGATGGGTTGCGTTCGTGCGTTTACTCTGCACTCTGTCCTAATACATTACAGACATGTTGCTGCAGCCGTTACTATTTGTCGGCTGGCGCGTATGAGTATGTGGGTCGTTCACGGGTAGTCCGCTATGTGAGATGTCCGTGAAAATTACAGACATTGCTTATCCCGTGCGAATCCGCTGTCAGATCTCAGACGTTCTCCGTGATTATCACAAATTACCAGGGGACCCATGTAAAACTAATCTGAATAGGGCTTATAACTGAAAATACAGAAAAAATATCAATTTGAAGAAAAAAGATAACAATGGCTAACTGCTAGCAAGTAAACAGTGTGTTGTTATGGTAACTTGGCCCTTGCCGACACTTATGTAGTCTTTTTTTCACAAAAACAAAGACTACAAACAGAAAAAGTCACAAAGTTTTGAGGACCACATATGCTCAGTAAAGCCCTCACATTGACTGCTCTGGGCGTTCTAGTGTTAGCGGGGAGCAGTCAAAATAACGGCTCTGGGAGTTCTAGCAGTTTCATTGTCGCGTTAAAGTCTTAAAGAACACCTTTAACCTAGAGTAAAGAAACGAGCTGGTGTATTTGGTCGTTGTTTTGGCCTGGGTTTTCATCCACTTCTCACTTGACTAACTTCAGCCTCATCCTTAAACAACGTCCCATGACTCTACAGTGTGTTTTTTTTCTCTGATACATTTGTCACCCTTTATAAACGCCTCAGAGTAAATGTTCACAGGCTTTCTTCACACTCTGTTTCCCCGTCTGCCCCTCCAGTCCCGAGAGCAGTCAGATGATGAGCAGTCAGAGGATTCGGTTAAGTTCAAACGGCTGCACAAACTGGTTAACTCCACGCGCCGGGTCAGGAAGAAGCTGATCAAAGTTGAGGACGGAAAGAAACATGGATCTGAAGGTTGGTGCATTTTGTTAAACACTGTTTGATAAAGAGAACATCTTGGGGTTTTTTTGCTTCCATGTTGAGAAAAAAAAAAAGAAGAATGCTTAGACTGCTACTTTTATTGCTAATTCTGTTGTGATGATTTGAAGACTTTATGGAACAGCAAGGAGGCGGAGTTTCTCCATTAAATAACTGCATAGGGATCTTGGAAAAGTTATAAAAGATTGAAAAGTCTAGTGTGTAATGACCACAATATCTGTATTAATACATGAAGAGTGTTTATCCAACATTAAAAAACCACCAAGTTAAGGAAACAATTTACAATGTTTTAGGTTTTTTTATTTATTTTTGTTACTCTTGATATTTGGACACTCCTATGGGTTTTTTAATGGGGAATTTTGCTTCCGTAACCCTGAGCTCCGCCCACTTTGCTGTTCCATAAGCATTTTGGGTTAGAAGTCAGCTGATTGTTGTCACATCACTGCAGACGATGATCTGATGTATTCTTTATAAATACATTTCAGATTTCCTCAATCTAGAAGCGGCCCCCACATGTGAGGACAACACAGCGCTGTACACAGGAGTTTTGAAGAAGACCCCCCTCTCCCAGGAGACCTCCCTGCCCTCGCTCCTGCAGGACCAGCTGTCTCTGGATGGGGACTCAGACAGTTTGACCACCTCCCCTTCGTCCAGTAGCCTGGACACCTGGTCAGGACACAGGCTGGTTAAGACCGTTAGTAAGTCTTCCAGCACCCACGGGCTCATCCGGCCCCCCAAGAGGACCCCGCTGGGCTCTGGGGGCCTGGGCTCCATCTCCGGTGTAGGGGGCAGCGGCTCGTCCTTCTCGGAGCTGGATGGCTGTGGTCTGGACGACGAGGGCAAACTGTCGCGCTCTACCACAGACGGAGAGATGAGGAAGGCCCTCAGCTCCATCTCCCACGGGGTAAGTACCAACGAGGCCCTGTACGCCTACTACGGCCTGACTAAGCCTCGCCCCAGACCCCACCCCCAGTCCCGTCTCCTCATCTCCCAGGACAACAGCCCCCAGAGCAGTCCAAAGCACCAACCCAAACACGGCAGCTGGGCGCATCGCAAACCAGACCCTAACTATGCTTATTCCACTAAGCACCTTCTTTACCAGCGTTCTCGCACCAAGAACCCAGTGTCCCCCCTCCCTGTCACCCCCTCCTCCCCAGCCCGCTGCGAGGTCACCAAATCCAAAGGCTTTGGCTGCGGCACAGGGAGCTGGGGCTTCCCCTCTCGCCGGCTCCGTGGCCGGACAGCGGTCAGTGAGCTCAACATCACCTATGTGGTGGAGCGCAGCCTGTACGGCCACCTGAACTGGGCGCAGCTGGTGCGGCCCGTGACCCTGAGCCGCGCTGAGCGCCGCTGTCTCCTGGATGAGGACCGCGAGGCCGACAGGAAGTGGGCGGCCAGCGTGGACCGCTGTACCAAGCGTGTGCTTTTACGCATCCAGCAGAAGTCTGTGAGTCCAGGCCATCAAGCTCAAGTCGACCGCCTCGTGTGGGAGGGGCTCTGAGGGCTCCATTGCTGCAGGATTAGCTCTTGTATTTAGATATGGGCATACAGAACATATACACAACATACAGAACATACAGAACATTTACAGAACATTTACAGAACATTTACAGAACATTTACAGAACATGCACACAGCACTTTGGTGAAGTGAGAAAGACTAAACACCATCTGAAGAATGTCATCTTGTTTGACCTTTAAAAGATGCCTTAAGCTTTCAAACTTTTCTTCTTAGACTGAATATAAAAAGATCATTAAATGCTTGTGACCCACTGGGGTGAAATTTTCCAGCTAACGGAATAGATTTTACGGCTTTAATAAATGTCACATCCCTTAAGAGAACTGCGCTCTGCAGGCTGTTAACAACAAGCTCATCCTTTCAGATCCATAGAACAGTAACCTTCCTCATCTTCTTTGCATAAAGGGCACAGGGACACGTTTTCTGTATCGTGCTGTAAATACAGAGACGTGTAGTGAGGGAGCGATCCTGCAGCTCTGAGGTCACCTGAGCCCCATCGTGTAGTAGTGCCGTCACCGGAACCCCATCCAAAAGAACCTCCAAACCACTTTTTTCTGTTCCCACTTTTTGTTTTGTTTTTTTTGGCTCGTGCCTCTATGATTTATGTGATTTAGCTTTTTAGCTTTTTTTTTCGATTTTTGCATGCCCATTCCATCTATATTCAGAATCATCTATTCGAAAAACACAATTCCGCCTGGGAAGTCGACATGTGGGGAGCAGCTGTGGACATTTTTGACTGTCTAAACGACGCTGCCTTTGTGTGCAATGCTTTCCACTTGGTGATAATGGCTGATGGTGCATAGCTGTCACGTCCAGACTCTAGGCCAGTCCTCGCTCCGACAGTGCGGCCGATACCGTTTGAAATGCTTTTTGCCACATGAGTACGTGCATGTCAGTGTTCACTGTCCGTGTGGTGGCTTTCTGCTGCTCCAGCTCCTGTTTCTCATGAATTTCGTCCCTTTCTACATTCTTATGTTTAGCTCCTGTGTTATTTGGCCATTTTAGACCAGACCAAATAATAAACCAACCATAGACCATGTTCTTGTTTAGTTTAGATGGTTTCTTCCACAGTAACCCATATATATGTCTCCCTTTTTTCAAAAATTACATAGAGTGCAAGTGAAGAAAAACTGCAAACAAATATAATTAATGCAGACGTACATTTGAAGTATTTGGAAATATTTGGAGCATTCACAGCACAATAACCAATTATGTCCTCGTTATCCCCTGTTCTCTTCACCAGCCTTTCCATGACACACCACTGTAAAACACATTTGTTTTGTGTGTATTGTATTGTGTGTTAAGTTGTGTTGTCGTGTTGCGTCATGCATGGAACATCATGCGTTGAACCTCAGTGGGTTCGAATGGCGTGTGGGGTTGGGGGAAGTAACGCCAACGTGACCTTACAGAGACTGACACATGTTTTCTATTGTGTCTGGCTCCTCGCCCACAGAGAACATGCAGCTTCGGAGGTTTTGACCTGTCCAACCGCTCGCTCCACGTGGTCAACAACGCCGGCTCCGATGGCAACGTGAGCATCCACTTTTTTACGGTCAAAGCAGCCATGTCTCTCCTGTTAAACGTCGCTGAAATGTCTCGTCTTGCAGAATAAAGACCAGGAGGCCATTTACAGGGAAGTGGTCAAGTCCCCCACCACGTCTCGCATTTCACTGGGCAAGAAGGTCAAATCGGTGAAAGAGACAATGAGGAAACGCATGTCCAAGAAGTACAGCAGTTCTCTGTCCGAGCAGGTAATCTTCATCTAAAAACTCTTGTTGCGAAAATGTTATACACAAATGCAACCAGGCAAATGGGATGTGTCCCTTAAAAATATCACAAAACTGCAGATCTTGCCGTCGTCTCCTCTGTCTGTTTTACAGTGATGTCATTCCTTCTATTATTAGCCAGGTGGCCACGGAAAAGTGCTTTATCGGTGTAACTTAAGTCGCTCAAATAAACGGCTGGTATAACTACGGTTTATTTGACCAAAGGCTTACACCATTTCCATGGTTCTGTCCCCAAACATTAGAATGGGATGTTCAGCAGCGAAGAGCCACGTAGTGCGTCCAGTGGCTGTGAGTGGGTGGGAGTGTTTGCGTTAGTAACAGAATAAACACAATCTGGCTTTATATGTGGTTTTGGTGCTGGACCCGGCTCTGGGCCCGCAGTGGAGGGTGGGGTCCGCTTCTTACTGAGGTCATGCGCTGATGAAACTGTCCCCCAGGCCCGCAGATTAAAACTCAGGACTTCAAATCTTAGGAATCACATGGGCCCTCGTTCGCTTTTATTCACGTTTATTTTTGATTACTGTACCTGTAATTGGGATATGTACCTCTGAATTGAACTGTGGCAATCAGCTGATTTAGTTGTCAATGCATACAGACACAAGCTGTTTATTTTAAAGACTACAGTGCCCCCTAGTGCCTACCATCTGTATTACTTTGCATTAAAGCTTCTCCTAAATGTGTTGTGTGTTCCAACAGAAAGTGTGTTATAAGAGTTAAATGTGTGAACAAATCAGACCACAATATGCAGTTTTCTCAAAGTTCATCAAAAAATATGGTATCTTTTGCATACTTGTAAGAAAGAGCCTGGGGGGGACACTTTGGGCCAAGTGAGGGTGGTTCTCTGTTTATCACTTTTCGGGGAGAAAATGTGACAGAGGGCAAAAATAAATGAATGTAAAAACTGATTTTAAGTATTTAGTAATTGATGCTTGGTTCTTGAGCTTTCCATCCCTTGTCTTTAGCTCCGCCATCACTAATGTCTACTGTATATTAGTTGTACTGCATGAAATTGAAATATAATTATAAGTGTAGTGCTGTATGTCCAGTACTAGTGGAAAGAAAAGTCTATTGAAGCTTTTACTTTTTGACTACACGTTTCTCCCGCTCTTCCCTCGTGGTCTAATGGTCCCTGTGAACCTCTGCCTCCTCCACAGTCCAGTCTGGATGGTGCGCCCGGCTCGCCTCAGTCCCCTCAGCCTGACACGGACTCTCTGGAGAAGCCCAAGCTCAAAGCCGGAGGATCCGTGGAGAGTCTGCGCAGCTCACTCAGCGGACAGAGCTCCATGAGTAAGAACCCTTTTATGCAGTGGCCGGTATTGCATATGTTACGGTTCTATTTGAATCTACAATATCAGATAGCAAACATCTATTTACGCTTGAAAATAGGGCTGAACAGATTGACAAAATATCTCATGCTTAGTTAGATTTGTCTTTAGAAAGTCTATGTTTATGGCATATGTGACTTGCAGTGACCCAGTGGCCTTACAAATAGATCAGGTCTACAGTCTACAGTGCTCCAGAATCAATTGTTTTGAAGATTTTCTGGTGTTATGGTTCCGGCAGCCGAGAAAACCTTCCAAACAATTGCTTCTATAGCATCCTACAGACCACTGTGATGGAAAGTAAAGGCGCCCCATTCTGACCACATACAGCAGCTGGGTAACTACATACTGCATACTAATATGCTAAAATTCAAAGGTTTGTTTCACATAAAAAGTTGCATAATAAAGGTGCATATTTTAAATAAGTCCAAGAACATTCATATTTGAGAGAAGTGAGACAAAATATTCTAGAAAAAAACTCAAGGAGATTCTCAATTCACTGGCCTGGCTTCCATCTTTCTCCCATATTTCAATGGTATATGTCTATTATTGATTTTAGCAGTCTTTTATCCCTTATAAAATGTCAAGGCTAGGCTTTTACATTCAAATTCTATAGACCTAAAGATCACACATTTATTTTATATCCTGGGAATGAGAATCTACATTCAGTTTCACCCATCAACATTCTCTCAATTTGCAAAATGGGTTTGGTCCCTTTTCGTTTGGCATCAATGTAAAACAGGCATGGCTGACTATGAAACAATAAGTAGCCAGAGTTGTGATTCTGTTGACCAGCCACTAGAGGGAGCTGGCTGCCTGCTCGTCCCCTTCTCAACATATTTACCATCACCTTGTCCTGTAATACCACGGTTTATGTGGAAAGATCTAATGATAGCCAGATGCCGCATGCACTGTAGTTTGCATGTCCCTTGTTCTAATTACTATTTCTCTGTTGCCAACCCTACTGTTTCTAATGTCTGTGTGTGGAAAAAAACACTACCTGTATTATACTCTAGGTTAATTAAAGAGCTGTACGCTATTTTAAAGTCACCAGGACCGTTTCACAAGCAGACAAACAAACATGTGCGAGTGATTATCCCCTACTTGAGGAGAAGATACTGTATATACTGTATGATGCAGTAACGCACAGTCAGGGTTTGAGAAATAGTTATAACTGTTCGTAATCGGAGCAAATATTATCAGACTCATTCAGAGGGGAATTGCAGCCACTTTACAGTATTACTTTTTTGATTGGATCAAACACTAATATTTTAATAATCCTTGAAATTACAACGTTTCTTGAAAGCATCACCTAATGCATTTCAGTGAAAACAACTTTCTGATAAGCAATAGCTGAAATGTATACTATAATTTGTATAGTATTTGTATAGATAGAAATTGTTGTTTTATTCCTTGTTTTGTCATTAATGATTTCAAAATCATAATGAGACTGTTTTTAGTTCTGCAGCCACATGTTAATTTACCCGGGAGATTAGCTTGACGCGGTGAGTTCTGGCAACCCAGATTATAGACTTTCTGATTGGTGAAACCGCTGGAGGGTGGGACATCGAAATGAAAACAATAACAAGATTCATGGGCTGTAAAACTAATTTTGAAATTCGAATACCTCATCTGAACTGTTGTCATTTAAAGCAGTATTCAAAAAGAGAATGATTTATTAATGCCTTTTGACAGATTAGGGCCATTTAATGATGACTTGACATGAAAATCTTACATATTTCTACTTTAATAATATTGTTATTATGATGAATAATTAATAAATAATAATAATTGTATAATGTAAGATAGGTTCTAGCTGATATCTTGTGTGACATCTTCTCTGTGGATGCATGGCAGCGGACATTGCAGTGCTCTTGTCTCTAAGATATAAGTTTTGTCTCTAAAGTAAATTTAAGAAATACATGGACCACAACATGGACCTCGACCTGTTCCCATGGGTTCTGTTCCCTCCGGAGCCTGGCTCATGGTGTGATATTTGGGGGTGAAGGCAGAAAAAAATGAGCCTAACTGTTTGTGTGTGCAGGTGGTCAGACGGTCAGCACCACGGACTCCTCGGCCAGTAACAGAGAGAGTGTGAAGTCTGAGGACGGAGATGACGAGGAGCCGGCGTACAGGGGCCCCTTCTGTGGACGGGCTCGAGTCCACACTGACTTCACCCCGAGCCCCTACGACTCCGACTCGCTCAAACTCAAGGTACAGATGCAGTTCATGTGTGCTTCTGTGTCAGGCAAAAGTTGGAGGTTTTATTTCATGATATAGGATTCGATTTTACTGCTCTGATTATTTGTTCTTTCTTTTTTGTAAATGGATGGAACAGTTTTGATGATGATGAATTTACAATCAAATCATATTTTTCCATCTCACAGAGTAAAGTTGTACATAAACAAAAATCAGGAAATATTCAAACCAGAAGATTTAGTCGCCATATGATGATAATTGAGGTTAGCTTATTTTAGACCCAGCAGGCATATAGTATGATAAGAAATTATGTTTATTGACCTGTGGTGCATGAAAGTGAGAGAATGGATTGATTAGATAATGTGTGAGTGAAATCTCCCCGAGGTCTAAACTCTGGAGGTGACAGAAGCTGAGATTAAGAGTGATATTCAACTGTTGAGGTGGTGTGTGGAGGAGGTGGGTTGCTGCACAAGCTGAAAGCGTGACCGCAGGAATGCCCGGCCTAAGCCTATATTGTTTGATTTGTCGGAAAGACTTTCTTTTATCATCAAGAAAGCTGCTGATTGATAATGTTAATGGATAAAATAAAACAAATATTTGTTCATAGTCATAGGCTTTTTATCATAATGGCATATATAGTGACATACCAAACATTGTCTAATTCAGTGTATCTCAAAATATGACCTCATCTATCTTCCCATCTGGTGGTATTTTATCATTTTGTCCTCTTTTGTGTTTGCCATCATTCAAAACTAGTGCAATATTTGTCTTGACTTATAATGTCACATTTAGACCTAACACGATGTCTGAACAGTTTGAGTTGATCTGGTTCAGATTCAGACTACTTCATTAATTCCACCAGTGGCAATTCATTTGAGCAGCACAGGGCATAAAAAAACATAAAAACACATAAAACACGGAAAATGTCAAACAGTAACATAATCGGTATGATATGAAGTGGATCCCATACAAACAAATGAACACAATACATGATACAAGCTCGTGGTCTCACTCGCGTGTGTTCTGTGCTGCAGCGCGGTGACGTCATCGACATCATCAGCAAGCCGCCCATGGGCACGTGGATGGGTCTCCTCAACAACAAAGTGGGCACCTTCAAGTTCATCTACGTGGACGTCCTGATCGAGGAGGAGGAGAAGCCCAAGCGGCCGGTGCGGAGGCGGAGGAAGGGTCGCGCTCCCAAACCCACCTCTGTGGAGGAGCTGCTGGACCGGATCAACCTCAAGGTGCCATTTTGTCCCACTCCTCACACATGCAGCAAGCCAAATGTCAACAAGACTTTTTTTTAATGAATTCTTATGGCATCATTTTAGTGTCAAAACAGTTGCTATCACCTCAAGTTGGCGCATCATGGTTCCTTCAGTGTGATCACGAGAATCTAGATGTGGCTTAATCTATTAGTTATTAACCAAATACATATAAAGGAGGACATTGATTGACACTAAACAGTTACAAGATGCATACCTAGAGCAAAGAAAATAAACCATTCAGACACACAAGGACACATGGTAGAGAGAGAGAGAGAGGGGGAGGTTCTGGCCCACATCTGCAGGCCTTGTTCTTCGTGGTATTGTCAGAGAGAGGGTCCACAAACCAGGAGAGAGACCCCACAGTGAGAGACACCCTCATGTATATATCAGCTGTGATGTCACCCACTGAGGTTAAAGGCACCCAATTAATAATAGGACAAGCTAATATAAATCTTTTGAACATGAATGTATAGTTAAAATTTGCCTTAAACTGTTTGTGAATCCCTACCATCATGAAATAGAACAAAAAAAATGATGTAAAATTGCCCGGATGCTGCATTCCGTCAGTAACAGCAACAAAGCCACAGCCTCAGATTACGTTTGCAAAATCCCGGAGTGACTCGGTGAACGTTAGTCACTGGGATTGTCGTACACTTACAGACTGTGATGTAGTGTGTAACGTGTCTGTGATTGTGGGGTGTGCGACATGAATCGTTTGAAGTGACATTTGTGTACAAACACTAACACCCACTTTCTCACAGACAAATCTGTCCCATCTTTAATTATGAACCCACACAACACTGGAGCGTAGAGTCTCCTCCCAGAGCTCTGCAGACTCGGGCCGATGGGACACACTGGGATTAAAGAGCCTGTTCGCCCTCACCAACAATAATGTGGCGTTATTGGAAACACAAATTACAGACGTCCATTATTCTGTACGCAGCAGAGCACATCGGTGAAGTGGATGTTGCCACAATGGTTTCATAATGGTTTGTTAGTTAGATTGATTTCAAACCTGGAGAACACAATTTCACATTACTTTACACTAATGCAGGTTTGAAAAAGGGTTGGATAAAGCAGTTTTTTTGGCTAATCCTGATTAATCCTTGTTTTCACCCCAAATCTCTGGCCATACTTACTTAAAAAAAAAGTATTAGTTTATTTGAATAGGGATACTACACATGACTAAATATTACTGTAAATCTGCCAGTATTAGCAATTCAGCTAGATATAGATATATACAGTAGGGGTGGGAACCTAAGGGTACCTCACGATACAATACGATACACGATACAAAGCTCACGATAACGATATTATGACAACGATTTTATCACGATATGACGATTATTGATATATTGGTCAGAAATATACAATCTGCCAATTTATGGCATAAATAACAGAAAAAATACTCTTTATTTCATGATAAATAGAATGGAGATGCGTAATGTAGCCATATATTAAGTATTGATACCAATTCAAAAAAAAAACTGAAATTGATATCGATACTTGGCAAATGCATATCGATAATCGAATCGCGGGAGAACGTATAGAGATTTTATTTTATTTTAGTATAGAGTTATTATTCATTTATCTTGTGCTGTGTGATCCTCATTCCTATACTGTTTTGTAACTTGCAAATTTCTCCACTGTGGGACCAATAAAGGGTCTCTTCATCTTTAACAAACCACAAACAAAATTGAAATATTGAACTTTACCAATATGTGTTCTACCTAAAAAGTTTAACTTTGAGAACAATATTGTATTAGTTAGATTAGTTAGTTTTACTCTTGTATTATATATAGATAGAACATACAACATAATACATCCTCCACTTAAACTGTCACTGAAAACAATAATTATAATTGATAAAAAATAAAAAAGTATTTCTGTCTGATAACATCTTTTGATCTTGCCAAACTTAAATCCAATATATTGGTTTGTTTGGCAGTTAAAGAGAAACAATAGCCTCCACAGATAATTCCAACCCATGAAAAATACCTCCTTCCTTATCCTTTTGTTTCATTTAAAATGTAAAGTTTATGGAACAGTGTTGCCTCAAATTAAGACCTTTTTTAAGATAATTGTTCAACCACTTTGAGGTCAAATTGGATGCCACCAGGGTCACTGAAAAGGAGAAAGAAGTGTACTGTGTTTTTGCATACACCATATTGCCCTTGTGTGTGTGTCTGTGTGTGTGTTTGTCTGTCTGTGGCTGTGTGTGTGTCAGTCTGTCTGTGTCTGTCTGTGCCTGTATGTGTGTAAGCCCTTGTTTCTCCCATTCCCTGGTTGTGAAATCACCCCACACACACACGAACAGATCTGGCAACATCCGAGCAAAGCCAGATGAGCCCGTTCGTTGGTGGTCCCTTTGTTTAGTCCTCGTCAGTCGGCAGAAATAGCACACACAAAAAAACACACACACAACGCTCCCCTTAGTGCATCTTTATTGTAATTGATGGTCTGGCTGGTGACACACAGTCTGCCACACGCAAACAAGGCTCGCCACCGCCATTGGGCCTCACGGTCAGTTGATCGCACAAAGGGGGCGTGTCTTCCTCTGTTTCTTTTTTTTTTTTGCGACCGGCTTTGGTGTGGTGCAGGAGGGACTTTGATGCTGCGTCTTTCACTCAGAGCACCATTGTGGTTGGGGTTTGGTTAGGGTTGAGTTTTTGAGATGAACTAACATTTACTTAATACGCCATCTCGAGCTTTGCCGCTGTGTTTACGGTTACTTCACGTGATCACATGGTCGCTTGGAGTTGGAGTAACGGTTTAGCTCTTTGGTTCACCAGGAAGTTAAATAGAAAATGTGTGTCTAGGAAATGTCCAACAGATAAGGACAGGTTCTCATTGTCAAGTCCTTTATAGTTTGTTGTCTGAGGTTGAGTTGCAGGCTCGACTTGAAAAACACATACACATTTTTCAAACAAGTTATTTCTAATCACTTAAAATACAAAATATACAAAAAAAAAGACTTAATACTTTTAAACTAAAATTGTATTCTTTTTACCATATTTTTAACTAAAGTTTTATTGTAACTGTTATCGTATTTTTTGTTTTATTACAATAACTTCCAAATGCGTTAAGAATTTAGCTTTTACAGAATGAATGAATTTTATCACAATATTTTAACTTTTTGTATTTTATCACAACACTTTAGCAAAATTACCATCCCTTAATGTAGATACAATTAATGATTGATGATTATTTAAAAGATAAATGCATTAAAAACAATAGTTTGAGGGGATTAGAAAGATTTTTCAGAAAAAAATAAAAATGTTGAAAATTAGTTCATTTAAAAACTTTATCCAAATAAAACTTTTGGATCTTACTATCCATAATAAATTAAATATACAACTTCCAATATCCCACATACACTAAAGCTTCTTTATTATACTAATGTTAGAGATTTTATTATATCGAAGTATAGTTTTATTAGCTCCTCATTCCTACTGCTCTGGAACTGGGGATGCAACACTGACATTTCCCCACCGTGGGATGAATAAACGATCTTTCTTCTCTAATTTAATCTTTTATTTGTTTTCTACCCATCATCATACATAATCATACTACTTTTATTGTCGGGCTAACACACCTTTTTTTCATAATATATTTAGTTTGCCCCAACAGAAATTCTTGTAAAAGTAAACATTGGTGAACAAATCAGACCAAAGAGGGCTGTGTTACTCTTATCAGAAAATGCTTCATATGTAAGAGAGAGCCCTGTGAGTTATTATTGTGATTGGCTGAGTGGTTATCCGTCTGCAAAGGCATAAACATGAAAACTAAAGCTAGTAGTAGTTGGATTGCTTGAAAGTTCTCTCTCTCTCTCTCTCTCTCTCTCTTATATTAGGGACCACTGTTAAAAGTATACATTGTAAATTTTCTCTATAAATGTGTGTGTGTTTTGCGTGTGCGACAGGAGCACATGCCCACGTTCCTGTTTAACGGTTACGAAGACCTGGACACGTTCAAGCTGCTGGAGGAGGAGGACCTGGACGAGCTGAACATCAGGGACCCTCAGCACAGAGCGGTGCTGCTGACGGCCGTGGAGCTGCTGCAGGAGTACGACAGTGAGTGGACCCTCAAACCCCAACCCTTCTACAGTAACTACTCATTTGATTTGGTTTGATTTGTTTGGGAAAGCCCCCTGAAATGCAGTATTCGAGAGGGAACATAAAACACACACAGTACATATCAGAATCAGAATCATTTTCATTGCAATTATTGATGTAAGTCACAGGAAGTCACGTTCTCGGTGCAAACAAGTTGAAATTAGAGGAGTAAGGCAGAATACAAATCTATATATAATTATACAATACAGAACACTGACAAAAATTATCAAATATGAGGTAATAAATGCTTAAATCAAGTGGTTTTAATCTTATTTTGAGAACATTCTGACTGTCTTATTTCAAGAATTGTTTCTCTATTCTCTCGTTCCAAGGAAGACATTTCTTGTATCTTTTTAAAACAAGATAATGTTGCTTGTCCGTTTGGAAAATCGTGTTTTAAGGCAGTCAAAATGTGCTCAAATTAAGATACATTTTTGCCAAATTTGACTTACACATGTTTGCTCCCTCAGATCCTGCTCTACACCCTACACTAATAAAACATATGCATCATTTCTGTAGACAATAATCAGAAATAGTCCGTACATACAACAGCAGGTAGAGTAATGCAACTTAAAATGTACATGTAGATATTATAACATCAAGAAGTCCCCACTTACAATCACCACTTCTAGACGCCTTAAATAGAAAATATTTACGAGATAGTTTTTGTTTTGTGTGAATTCGCCCAAGACTAGAAATGACTTCTAAACCAAGACTACAGGTCTGACTTTTGACAGTTGTCATGGTTACCAGAAGGGATTTTGTCAACTATCCTCCACCACAATGTTAAACTATGTGAGCCTATAGGAGGTATGAGGTGAAGTCACATGAACGCAACCAGTGAGGCATTTATTATGTAGTTACATCAATCTTGGAATACATTACATCGGGCGTATTATTTATGCGATTTACCAAGAGCAAACGGTATAATTCCTAGTATCCTACGCCTGAACTGCTTCTCACTCTTCGAAAATGTGCTCACATGGACCTTTGAGTTTTAGCGCGCACATGTGGAAACCCAAAAAACCACTCGGTGCAACGTCAAAGTGAGTTAAAATAAGCTCCAAATCAACCGTGTGCTTTTGCGCTTGCAGGCAGCAGCGACCCGGAGCGTGGCGGCGGGCTCTGCGGGTCCCAGGAGAAGCTGCTGTCGGAGGGCTGCGGCCTGGTGGGAGACTCCCCTCGAGACTCCGGCTGCTACGAGAGCAATGAAAACCTGGAGAATGGTAATGACAGCTACAGTTAAGACTTTTAGCACGCCCGGACTAGCGCCTGTAGCCTGCCGTAGCTCCTGCACAGTGACTCTGACCACATCCAGCTCATCTCCTTATCCCATGCTTCTGCTTTCTAACATACACACCTGGCTCTCTCTCCGGCTCTCATCGCTCCTGAGCCTTTTTTGTTTTACTGTCCGTTTATTTTCCTGCCCTTTCTTTACTTCTTTTCATTCTTCAGGCATTCTCTGTCACAAGTGCCAAAGTCCACTTGTAAGTGTGAGCCAGCCAGCCCCCAGACTCTTCCAGCCCAAACTGACTGGAGCAAACATGGGTAGACCCTCCACTACTCACAGAACGGTCCTGGTGAGAGCTAGGTCACTGCCCAGCCCTGGACTCAATTTCCCAGCAGCCCGAGTGCTCAGTGCCCAGGGAGGTTTTGTGGAGGATGAACACGGCTTAAGAGAATACTTCTGCTAAGGTTGTTTTCTTCTCATGATAGAAATGTGGGAATTGTCTTTAATTGCAGTGGTGCGCTACAAAAAGTAATGAAGAATAAGTCAAATCTTGCTCAAATTTGGCAAAATGTATCTTAATGTTTTCTGACTGCCTTAGATTTACAAATTGTTTTAAAAAGATACAAGAAATGTCTCTCTTGGAATGAGAAAATAACGCAACAGTTCTTGAATTAAGAGTAAAAGGCTTTGTCCCGTTGGAAAATCTTGTTTTAAGACAGAATGTACTCCAATTTAGAAAACACGTTGTGCAAAAAATTATAAAATTGGAGGTAGAAATAACTGTACACTAGTTTTTTTGTTTTTTGTTTTTTAAAAATCCTAATTAGAGTACATTTTGGCTGTCTTAAAGCAAGATTTGCCAATGGGACAAAGCCATTTAGACTTATTTCAAGAACCTTTTTCTCATTCCAAGGGAGACATTTCTTGCTTGTCCCATTGGCAAATCTTGTTTTAAGATTGTCAAAATGTGCTCAAAATAAGCTACATTTTGCCAAACTTGAGCAATTTTTGACTTGTTTTTAATCGCTTTTTGCAGTGTAATCGACAGCTCGTTGTTACAGACCACTGCTGCTAAACCACTTTAATGTTGCACAATCATTCATCAACGCGTGCCTAAAATGAATGTATGCAAATATTTTTAAATCTCTGTATGATATTTAGAAAAAGAAAAAAAGCTGTTATTTTAGAAAATATGTGTGTGTGTGTGTATCTTGGAGTTGTATGTCCCTGGGGAAAGTCTACGATCCACAGCTCAGTAAAAGAGCCGTGTTGCCATGTCTGCGTTGCCATGTTCAGTGAAAGGTGCAATCCTCCGCATTAGAGATTAACGTTGTAGGAAACCCCTCTCCTTTTTAAATAAAGGACTTCATTTCTGGTACATCCTGTTTCATTTTTTTATGTCCCGCCTCCTCTTTGCCGACTCCTTCTTCTTCCCCATGCCTCGAAAAACACCAATCACCTTTTCTCTGCATAACATTTCCGTAACATTCAGCGGATCTATTCTTGCATTAGCTCTGCCTCTGTCCTCTGCTGTTGTTAAACTTTAAGATGATATGTGAATGTCAAATGTTTTTGATTTTCTGCTGATGGCCGAAGAATAAATAAATAAATAAAAACTGGAGATAATCTATTTCACACACAAACAAAATGTGTTGCACTATTGGTTTTATCTTTACTTTCAAACCACTAATGCATTTGGCAACATAATAATCCTTCTTGTCTTTAGCTCTCAAAAAGTGTTGGTTCTATCCCTTGTCCTCTTTTTTTTCTTCTTTTTTTTTACTGTGATAATTATTATTTTTTTATACTTTAATTTTGAGCTTTTGCCTGTAGAGTGTGATGAAAAATGGCATAGTTCAAAAACATAACATGGCCACAATTTTAATGCAAAGGGAAAGATTACATTAAACAAATAATAACAAAAAAAATAGAGTAAATTAAAGAAGCAAAATATAGAATAATAATAATAATAACAATACTAATAATAAACTAGAGATTGTCAAAACTTTTGGTCAAGAGATTGCCACTATTGCGTAGCCAATCAGCTCTCAGCCCAAAGTGTCAAATAGTACCAAAAACATAAATAATAAATGTGTATTATGGCGTAGACAGTAGGTTGTGATCTGTATGTTGTATGTGGGAATTGTATGTTAATGCATTTACAGTCAATGATTCAGACTGAGACAAACAAGGGAAATAACGTGGACATAGAAGCTCAGAGGAAACAAAAAAATGGTTAAAAATGAATAATTGTGATTTTTAACAATTTAACCAAGTAATTCCTTAATAACTTTATATATACTTCCTTAACATTTCTGTGTTTTATTTCTATAATCCATGTAGCTGTATGGACTTTCTTTCTAATCATTTCTTCGCTTTTCTCAGCTTTTTTTGTTACATTTCACCGCATCTCCACCTCTTAATCGCCTTTTCCTACGCTCACGCTTTCAGTCGAGTCTCACATTTCATCCACCCATTCTCTTTACACTGTGAGGAATCATGGTAAGTTTCTATATTTTGCTTTTGGCTCTCATTATTTAGACTCGTTGCTCTCAGACCATTTTTACTGTGGTCATTTATTATGATGGAAGTGTTCTGTGAGACAATAATGTTGGTGTTTAACTGTCGAAATGGAGCGTCTTCCAAGGCCTCCGTGATCAGTCAGGTCTATTAAAAAGGCATAACTGTCTCTTAAACAATAAATTACAGTAGTTCACCAGATTTGTCTCATGTTTCAAAGTGATCTGATTGTCAAACGCGTTCTGGTGGATGTATTACATCCCAATACTAAATGCTGATTAAAGAAAGATAGAAACGATTGGACAGAGCTTGAAGCTGATAATTGTTTAGGACCAAAAACTTTCCTTCTAGATGGAAACATATCTATTCTCCCCATGAAGTCAATATTTCCTGAAAGGATTTAAATGGCAATCAATTTTTAAAAAAATCGGAATCAGCATTATTTTATTGCCGTTGTAAGTAAAAAAAGTCACAAACTCCAAATCTGCTTTGGCTCATGGTGCAAACAAGCTCTAAAAGTACAAATAGATATAAGAAAATCTATTCTATTTTTTGTGCATGCCTTAGTAGAGTGGAGTGCACTACAAAAAGTGATAGAAAAAAAGTCGAATTGCTCAAATTTGGAAAAACGTATCTTATTTTTGGGGGCGACAGTAGCTCAGTTGGTAGAGCATTGGCCTTAAGGCCAGAAGGTCGTGGGTTCAATTCCCACCTCTGCACCTTCTCCATCGACTCCCACTGATGACTGCTGCCGTTGTGTCCTTGGGCAAGACACTTAACCCCACTTTTGCCCAAAGCCCCCACTGAAAGATCAAAGGCTATGCTCACACTCAGAGAGCAGCCGTCCTCCTGTGGACTCACCACCTGCAGAGGGTCAGTGAGGGGCTGGTGCTATGAGACTTGGGTGGCATCTCTGACTGCCACCCCCCTGACCCAGAAATGGATTAAAGGGTAGAAAATGGATGGATGGATGGATGGTATCTTATTTTGACCACCTTAAAACAAGATTTTCCAATGGGAAAAACAAAATGATACAAGAAATGTCTCCATTGGAATGAGAACATAAAGCAACAGTTCTTGAAATTAGACTAAAGGGCTCTATCCCATTGGCAAATTTTGTTTTATCACCGTCAGAAAGTTTTCAAATTAAGATAAAATTCACTCGATTCAAGCTATTATTACCTCATGTTGTCTTTTTTTTGCAGTGTAGTAGAATAATGTCTTAATTGTAGTACTATAAACAAGTGTGCTGTAAGTTTCATTGGCTAAATATACAAAAATTATCTATAAACCATACCCTCATTTTTCCCCCCTTTCATTATTTCAGGTAAAAGCAGAAAAACGTCCCGCTCCAGCCGCTCCTCGGGGGGCCTCCAGTCTCCAGATTACCCCACTCTTCCTTTGACCATCTCCACTGAGGCGCTGCAGCAGAACAGCAGCCACCTACGCACCAAATTCTCTAAAAACCTCTTTTCAAAGCACTCTCTGAAAGGATTCAACCTCCTCGGTCTGCGCAAGGCCTCCCACAGACGCTTTCCCATCCCGGCTAGTCGCAGCTGTGAGGACTTGGACGGGCCCTGCCAGCGACCGGGCCCCTGGAGGAGGTCCCATTCCCTCGGAGACATTCGCCTGGAGCAATCTAACGCCGAGTTTAAAGCCACACTGGAGAAGGCTAGAAACGACAGCCCGCAAAAGCTAAACGGAACTGCAATCATTCCAAAAACGAGACCCCCGGTGCCCTCTCAGCTGCCCCTTAGGTCGTCCTGTCCCAGCCCACAATCACCTACTGTCCCGGAGCTGTTGTCTAGCCCTCCTACTAGTCCGTTCCAATCTACAGGCGACAAAATCATTGCCAAAACGCATTCCAAAAAGCCTCCTGTACCGCCACCAGTCCCAGCCAAGAAATCCAGGGATCGGCTCGCCAACGGTCTCCGCCACGCACCCCTTTCCCTCCCCTCCTCACCCTCCCCCACTCACTCCATGAACAGATCCCATCCGAGCAGTCCGGTGATCCGTAGCACCAGCAGCAGCCCCGGACCGCCTCTCCCGGCCAAGACCCCGACCAGCAGCACCCCGGCCAGCCCCTGCTACTCCTCGTCGGCCTCTTCGGTGGGGGAGGAGTCGGCGGGGAACTCATCGGCGCAACCCCCGTGGCTGTCGGACCTGGGGGGGAAGGTGGCGGTGGCCCGGAAAGCGTCCCATTCCAAGATGATTCCCGATCTGCTGAGCGTCCTGGAGCAGAGGCTGGAGGCGGAGGGCATCGACCTGACGGAGGAGCCGTATTCTGATAAGGTGGGCTGTCGAGAAGGCGTGAATGTCTAATGCAAAAACTGGAAGTGAAGTCATTTTTTATCTTTATTCACGTACATTTTGTCATCGTTAAGGCAAGATGTACCAATGGGACTAACCACAGTTCCTTATTTTAATATAGGTAATATTTGTGTTATATCTTTTGCCTGTCCCTTTGGCAAATTGTGTTTTAAGAGTAAAAATTGACTTGAATCGGATTTTATGCATATACCATACTTGCTGAAATTGGTGTTTAGTTTAGATACTAGATGTAGAATTCATTTATATCTTCCCTAGAATGTTGTGACCAAATTACTCCAAGAATCCATAGTACTAATATAGTATAGTAGCATAGTGGTAATATTGTAGAAAATATAGTACTCACTTGTCCTTTAAACATTACCCAACATATTTGAAACCAAAGTACCTACCCGATATTAAAGCTCAGTTACCTAACTTTCAAACCACTAAGATTGACCTCTTTGAGAACATTCATCTAACTAGTACTGGTTCCTTGCTCTCTGGTTCTGCCACTAGTTCTCACATGCATGTATGTTTGGCCTCTGTCACATCTTTGTAATTTGTTCACAAAATTATACTTTTATGTTGGGACAAGCGACATGGATTTGATTATGTTTGGTTTCCCACCTTTAAGATCATTCTTGTGGTGAAAGAACAAATGCGACATTCCATTTTATTCCCTCTACAGCAGGGGTGTCCAAACCGGTCCAGAAAGGGCCGCTGTGGCTGCAGGTTTTCTATCAGACCCATCAGGACCAGAGCACACTCCTCCCATTTCCTCAAATCTTCAGGTTAAGATTGAACTCACTTGAGGAAATGGGTGGAGTCTACTCTGCTTCTGTTGGGTCTGATAGAAAACCTGCAGCCACAGCGGCCCTTCTGGACCGGTTTGGACACCCCTGCTCTACAGAAACAAATAGGATTTTCAAACCATTTCAGCTGTAATTTCACTAAAAACGCAATAATGGCCGCGTACGTTATGCTTTTTGAAGCGACGGACAACAGAGCTGTCTTTGATTAAACTGAACGTAACCCGGCACATAAACATATGACATCATTTCCCCCTGGCTCAGAAGCACTCCTCTGAGAAAAGTCCTGCCTGAGACCATTCCTTTTGGCAGTTTCTCAACCTTTAAAACACATTTGTATTATGTTCTCTGTGTATTATAGCTCAGAGACAATGAGTAGTTGTTGGATTGGACTTCTCTATACTGCATGTATGACTGGTGCTGACACATGTACATGCAGGGTTAGTATAAAAATAGAATAGTGTGAGGGTGTGCATAAATAAAGTGTTCGGGGCGGTGGGATCAGCTGTGGCTTGGCTCTATGATGTGGTACAGTCTGTTAAGTTTATGAGCTGGATCTCAGACTGTGTTATAACCTCTTACCCCAGAGTGGGCCCCATCCAAGCTGACACACACACACACACACACCCAATACTGGCAACAAAACAAGGCCCAAACAGGCAACCGCCGATGAGGTGTGAAACCATATTATATGTCATAGCCTGCACTCAGAAGGGCAGCATTAGAAAGAGCACAACCGAGGCTTTGTGTGAGCTTCCAGTAGTTTTAAGTTGTTTTGTTCACTTCGGTCGTCTTTCACTAAACGCAAAGACGTGCTCGAGTCAATAAGTGAATAACTGACTATTTTTTATACTCATCAATCACCACATTGATTAAAAAATACTATCTTTGATGCACACAGCGGCAACACTCACACAGAATGCAAAAAAAATGACCAATACAAGATGATAGCAAATGGGTACGTGATGAGCACTGGTGTGATGTAATATAAACATGTTGAATGAATAGTTTTCAGTCTTCCCACTTTAGATGCTTAAACTAGATTCAATTTCATACATTTATCTACTGCCTTTGTAATGAGCTACTGACGGTCAGTTGAATTTGCCCTCATCGGATGAATACAATGGTTTTTGCTCAATAGAACATATAGATAGATCTTTCAGAAATGCAGAGGTGTCCACAGCAGAAACACTTTCATCCATACAAGCATCAATAGATACAAACTAAAATACAAATCTAAAAGTTACTAACAGTTGTAATAAAGTTCACATGTTTAAATCTGTACAGCCTTAAAGCCGAAGTAACGAAGAATCACTTAAGACGCTCTGTTTGGCAGCACAGTGATAGGAGCCTGTTGCTACGGTTACTCGTAAGGCCATAGTGTTTATTTGTCTATGTTAAGTAGCACAATGTGAGGAGCCTTGTACAACAAACTGGGGGGGGGGGGAGTTCTGCCTCAGATACCACAACATTTCTCAAATGCCTGAATAAATATTGTATAGTTTATCATATCATCACTTCTTTACGTTATAACATGGTAGAAAGACATTTAAAGGAGCAGTAGGTAAAAATCTGGCCAAAAGTTGTACTGCAACTTCTCCTGCTCTCCCTGACTCAGGTTGCCAGATATAGGTAGCTAGATACTTTATTGATCCCCGTAGGAGAAATTCAAGTGTCCAGCAGCAGAAGACTCTTTTTGTTGTTGTACAGTCTGACAGATTTGTTGTACAGTCTGACAGATTTGTTGTACTGTCTGACAGCCGAAGGAACAAAGGATCTCTTGAAACGTTCCGTTCGGCAGCGTAGTGAAAGGAGCCTGTTGCTTAGATTACTCCTCTGAGCGGCCATAGTGTCATGCAGAGGGTGTCTGGAGGTAGCCCTGTGTTAGAGCCCTCTTCCTTCTCTCCATCACAGCTCCCACACACCTCTCCACACCTCTCCCCATCACAGAGACACATTTCATGATCAGCCTGTCGAGCCGATAATGCAGACGAATCCAGCTGGGACCTTAGTATCTGAATGGACAAGAGTTTTGTCAACAACAAATCTATAACCAACACCTTTTTCACAAAGGCCCGATAGAAATCCTCACTGTATTCCTTGTTTTGTCATTAATGATTTGAGAATCATAACAAGACCTTTTTAGTTCTGCGGCCACATGTTACTTTACCAGTGAGATTAGCTCGACGTTTTGAGTTCTGGCAACCCGGATCGCAGACTTTCTAATTGGTAAAGACATTTAACATTATAACATGATAGAAAGCTCAAAAGTTTTTTCCCGGATCTACACAGTTTGAGTTTGCACAACGTAGAACACTTCCTGACAAACATTTACATTTTGTGGACTATTGTTGTTCTGTGTTTGCCTGGTGAAAGTTTCATAATTACAGCCTTCTTGGAGAAACTCTTAGTTAAACCCGATTTCCTTGATCTTGTTTTTAGCACGGCCGCTGTGGCATTCCTCAGCTGTTGGTGCAGCGTTACTCAGAGGAAGCGGAGCAGCCGCTGAAGGACGTGGCCTCCTCTCTGGACCAGCTCCGGGTCCGAGAGCTGCGGAAACAGCACCGCATGGCTGTAAGCAAACTCACTCACTGTCAGCTCCATGGGCCACTGCACACAGGGCACCTGTCTCTATCAATCCACTTTCATTTGTAGAGCGCCTTTTCTACACAAGGCAACGCAAAGAGCATCACAACCATATCATCCATCCATCCATTTTTTTCCCTTTAATCCATTTCTTGGTCAGGCATAAATCATAAACATTAAAAGCTACTTAAACATTACAAAAATCCCACACACATTAATAAGAAAACAATCATACAAGCCATTGAAAACCTTAAGACATTAAAATTATAAATAGCCACAGTGCGTTAAAAAGAGTAAAGATCAAATCCTTCAGTTTTATGCACCGCTAAACAGAACAGCTTTTAACATGGATTTAAAAACTGCCAGAGTTAGAGGCCTGTCTCACATTTTCAGGAAGACTGCATGGGCACCAGCTGGAGACTAGAAGATACATGCATACACCTTTAAAAAAAACACAGAATTTATTTGTTCCTTTCAATATTTTTTTTAATTTGTTACATTATTCTAGGCCTGAATTTAATGAATATTATTAATTCTAGATCAATTGTTTGGATCTCAAAAGTCTGTAATTATGGGATTATTTATATAGTCGGGTTGTTTGATTTATAATACTTGGTCAACACATTTTAATTCCATTCTGCAGGAGGTACGGAATTAAAAAACCTCATAAAACCTCTTCTCTGTATATTTAAGTTTGTGGAAGATTAATTAATCTATTACTAAATCAGTTGTAAATCCAGACCTAGATCGTTCACACAATAATTCATGACATTTTTTACACTATGTAAAATATGATGCCAGATTTGAGATGACTGATACATCTAGTGAAATAATCAAATTAATAGGTCTGAGTTGAAACACATAAATCAGCAGAATTGAAAGTGGTGACTGCATACCTCTATTGCTAATTTGTTTTTAGATTATTATTTTTGTTTTATAAATAGCATCGTATTAAAGGAAATGAAGGAAAGAAGTTTAATTTGACACATTGTTACAGAGCAGTAAATTTACAGTATAAAGAAAAACTGAAAAGGAGTAGGCTGAAGCTATTGTTTATTTTTCCTAGCCTTACAAAAAAAAATAGCTTAGCCAATCCAATCCACAGATAAAAGCTGAGTCCTCACTAAGTCAAAAAGCATAGAAGCATATTGTTGTGTGAGTGATGGCTAGTATGTAATCTTACTGTTTATTTAGCCCCGTTGCCACCGGTTACAAATGCATCTACAAACACACAGCACAAGACAGTACAACACTTCTTCATCATTTATCCTCGTCTCACATTCCCGTATTGGTCCTGCAGATCCCATCCGGCGGTCAGACGGAGATTTCCCGCAAGCTGTTCCCGGTGGGCCACATCAGCTCCGTCTCCGATTGGCTGGTGTCTATCGGCCTGCCCATGTACGCCTCTCCGCTGGCGGCGGCGGGCGTGGTGGCGCTCGCTCAGGTCACGTCCCTCACCGAGAGCAGCGTGTGGGAGGCGGGGGTCCGGGACGAGAGGCACGTTCGCAGACTGGTGCAAGAGTCCCGCCTGGTCAGCCCCGACGGAGGCTCCTAACCGCCGCCGTCCCGTGAGCAGTACAGCTTACACTGCCAAAAGTGATGAAAAATAAGGCAAAAATTGCTCAAATTCGGCAAAATGTATCTATATTTGAGCACATTTGACCTTCTTAAAACAAGATTTGCCAAACGGAAAGAAATATCTCTCTTGGAATTGGAAAAATGTATTTAAATTAAGATACAAACCACTTGATTTAAGCAATTATCACCTCATATTTTATCACTTTTTTACAGTGTACGTGTTTTATGGGTCAGTATTCGAAAAAGGACGGTGAGATCAAAACACTGCCTATCGAGAAAAAGTGATCGACGGTCACTTTTTTGCAAAATAAATGTTTACGGACAACTTTAACCGATGCCTTTTCCAACTCAAGAAAGTCTTAACATAGACGTGGATCTGCCTTTTGAGAAAAAAAGCACACTGTTGTTCTTGTGTTGTTCTTGTGTTCTACTCCCAGTTCTTCACGTAACGCGGAGAGCCCAAGTTTATATCCTGCCTATTTCAAAAAGCGGTTGCAGCGCGGCACCATCATCATCGTGGAGTTTTTTTTAAACGGATGTAGCTCGGGTTTAAGGACTTTGATGTAATGGCTTCTCAATATCTGGACATCTCTGCAGCGTTTGAAGAAAAAACGTCACAGCTTGTTTGAAGATTGGAAATATTGGAATATTCTGTATTATAACACAACCGCAATGTGTGTGTGTTTTTTTTTTTTACTTTTGTTTGACTTTTTTATGTTGCCGCCTTATTTTGATGCCAGTCATTTTTAAGCTAAAACAACTTGTATTCAACTATATACACTGCTTTTAACACTTGCCTGCATCCCAATGTTTTTTTTTTTACAGTGAGCTCACAAACTATCTAAACATTCCCTATTGATGCCTTATTTTAATCAATCGCAATCACAACACTGAAAAATGTTTGTGTTTTAGTACAAGGTATTATCCCAGGCACAACTACACTGCAAAAAAGCAATGAAAAATAAGTCAAAAATTGCTCAAATTTGGAAAAATGTATCTTAATTTGAGCACATTTTGACTGCCTTAAAACATTATTTACCACTGGGACAAGTCAAATGAGCTTGTTTTAAAATGATACAAGACATTTCTCCATTTGGAATGAGAAAATAAAGCAACAGTTCAACAAAGCAACAAAAAAAGATTTAAAAAAGCAATCAATTCAAGCGATTATACCACATTTTATCATTTTTTGCAGTGTAACATGTCTGCAGGAAGGCTTACACAGGTCTGTTTTTTAGGCTGGCATACATATTTGTTTTTGATTGTTCTTAATTATTTTAGTTTTTTTTAAAGGGATGAATTGGGACTATAGAATGATAGAAGCAGTGCCATATCAGGTGACTCGCAACATTTGGCGCGCCGACCAATTCGTCAGGGAGACAAGATGGGCCATTACACTCTCCGCCATTACTCAAACGCTCATTTTATAAATATTCCTTATCTTCAAAGACCAACGTCAAGCGCTGTGCATAGGTTTGAGGAGTTTAAGGAGTGCTTTACTTTCTTCCGTTTATCAGGATGGGAAAACTTTGGATCAGAGACGGAAATCTAAAGGTTGTGTTCATGTTCAGTTATGGTTAAAAAATGTGGTGGAGCTGGTGCTACTGAAAAATTGTTCTGGTAAATATCAAATTTCAGTCTTTTTACTGAACAAAAACTCTCACAAAGTCCATCAACTCACATTTCTATTTGCCTCTGAACCCTCAATAATAATCTGTAAATCAGTCTACAACACTCTGCCTTCTTAAACTTTAGTCCAGTTTTGGCAAAACCAAAAAAGAAGACCCATAATTTATAATATAATAATTTGCTTTCGTAATGTAAAAAGTAAAACAATGGCCACAGATGCTCAGTAAGTATTATTTATTTATACATAGTGCATTTGCTCCCGACCACCGTTCACTCACTCCTTACATTCAGACCTGAGAGGGAGCAGACATGAGTAGAACATGCAAACTCCACACAGAAAGACCGAACCGAGGAACTTCTTCCTGCTTTTGGCTTTAACCCGTCGTGCCAAAGACAAGCTGAATGAAACTTTCCACAAACGGAAAGAAAACACTTGCTATATTTGGCTCCATGTTTGCCTCTGTTTATCAAAAGCTGAAATCGCCATTCCCAAAAACTAGAAAATGTGTTTTGCCAAATTTTGATTGAATGGTAACTGTGTGAGGATTTTAAAAAAAATGTTTCGGCCTTCCATAACATAGCCATATCCCAACGTTGCTCGCCTGGAGAAAAGAATTGCCCGTCCCTGGTTCATTTTATCATAAAGGTGTCTAGAAGTTGTGAGAAAATTTGAAAAACAGTATGATATTAATGGCCAGACCTAAGAATAATATAACGTTTTTTAGTCTAATTACTGTCAAATAAGGAAACATTTAGACATTTTCTTTCTATAAATCTCTTCCAAAAACTGCTTCTTTCCCTCAGCCCCTCCCTCCAACCACAGTCCAACTCTAGAACATGAACGCAACCTTTTCTAACTGCTGCAAAGCCTGATCGTGTGTTACTGGATTTTGAAATAATACTAACAGGATTAACATCTTGGTTTGATTTGTCTTGATTTTTTTTTTTTTTTTTTTTACACAGATATATTCTTATTTCATCCAAACGAGAAAAAAACAAAACATTTGCACAGTGCTGTATGTTTTCCGGAAAAAGGTGGCGTGGTTTTTGCTACGTTTTTCGAAGGCGTTTTTGCAGTGGCCGCTTCGTAGACATAGACGTACAGTATGATGCCTTTATTTCCTATTTCCACTACAATCAAAAGTGGTGCTCTTTGGGAGAAAGACTTGAGGGGCCTGGTGTTACAAAAATGACAAAACTGACACTGAAAATGCACTTTAGAAGGTAATCCTAGCAGGAGGGGGTTTTTTCCTCATCAATATTTCTCATCGATATTTGGCATCAGGTATAGATAGAATGGGTTCTGCTGGGTATTCCGTATTACCTTCCCAACAGTGACTTTGCAAAGCATTCACAAGTTTATCCATTTCAGTTACTTCAGTCTTGATTACATATATACGAATCGCTTCTGTATGTGTAATTGATATTTAAATAACTTATTTTATGTTATGCTTTTTGACTGTAATTAGCTGTACCATACGAATAGCAATACCTTTCTGCATAATGCATATTGCTTTAGCCAGTAAGGAACCCTACACTATGTATTGTAAAATATATGTACAAATGATTATTTTATTTGGTTTTTCTTCTATCTAATGATTGTCCATACAGATTTGCCTGTGTATTGAAAACAAACTAAAAAGTCATGTCCATAACTATTTGTCATTTTAAAATATAATAAAATGTTTCTTGCCATAAGACGTTCGTTGCAATATTGTTGTTTTGATTATTTAAATTCAATGTATTTGTGTATTGCCCGGAAACGCAACAGCAGTCGTCTGGGTGGACTTAAGTTTTCGATTTATACACAACAAATTAAAGAATGAAAAGGATGGATCACAGAAATGCAATAATAACAAACACATCAGAGTCATTGGTCCATAAGAAACGGGATCAACCAAAGTTCCTAAATGATGCCAATCCAATGTAACCTGTTATTACTCTTCCTAAAGTATAAATATTATGCATTATTTTTATCCGTTAAACATTATAATGAGCCTTATTACTCATGCTGTCATTTCGTGGTCTGGATAGGAAAGAATATATTCAATATCTGTGTCCAATCAAAGCATCTTGTTATGTCTCCTGAGAAAAATAAAGGAAAAACCTGTCTCAACCAATATATAAAGAGTCATGCTTGAGTAATTGGGATTATAAATGTACAAAATGCCATAATTGAGGGCTCCAGAAGAAAAAAATATATATTGTGTTAAGTTAGATTGGTAACAGTTAAAAAAGATATGACCGACCTTTAGTTGCAACTCTATTGGCCTACATTGATGCAATTTACAAATCAAAAGATATATATATATTCTGCTGTATTTTGATTCACTTTTCAACCACATCAAAAGCTCAGCTCGGGAGAAACCTATACAAACTTTTTTGCAAATGTGTTTTTCAGGAGAATACCACGTCATAATCCCTCATACACAGTCCCCAGGGCCTTCTCCTGCTCGGACATGTTATCTTTCACTTGGTAGTCTCATGTTCATTAGCCCGTTATACATGTATATTCCTGGGTGAAATATTTGTTTGCAAATATTCTGTCAAATTGAATGGTGCATACAGCCATTCCATAGCGTTGTTTGTTTTCCACCAAATCTTACACATTCTTTGGACCTCCAGCCAGATTGGTGACCTTTGTGGCCTTTTCCGCAAACAACCTCCTACAGTGAAAGTTAAAGAGTTCGAATTGGGTTCTTAAAAGTCCACCTGGCTCCTGACATGTGCCTGTAGGAGGGAGAAAGGAGCAGGAGGAGGAGGTGGGACTGTGGGCTGTGATTGATGCAGTGTATAGCTACCCTTTGGAAGAAAGTTTACAACAAGTAAAATGTGTCAAGTAATTTCTATGCCTGTCTGCCTCTTGGCGCAGCTGAAGTTCATTAAATTAAACGCCAACTTCTTAACAAAATATAATCAATATGCTTCACTGGGGCTCCTACATTGAAATTCTGATTCCCCTTCAAACCCTTGACTAAGCTTGAGTCGCTGTTCCCCGCGGCTTGACCTGACACATTTCAGATCCACTTGGTGTCGCCGTTTTACGCACCACGGATTCCAGACTCAATCCCGAGTGAAGAAGTGGAAGTTTTCTCCCTTTGCTTTTCCACGTTTAGCGGTAATCTGACACCCAAAAGTCTGAAGAAGGATGGACTTTTAACTGCGCTGGTGGGACGGACGGAAGGAGCAGTTAGCAGACGAAAGCAGAAGTGAACGTGGACCGTGCGTAAAGAAGAATAAATTGGAGGAGCTGAGGCGGGAGCGTGTGGATGCCTCAAATGAACCCACAGGGGCGAGTGGTACTTCTCAAAGGCGAATGGGTGACTTTTGGGGGCGCTCTGTGAGGAGGAGATGATGACGAATTACAGCGGGAATAGTCTGCACAACAACGGCCAGACTGCGAACCACGTCAGGGAGCGAAACGGGAGAAAGTGCAGCGGCAGCAGCAGCGGCGGCAGCGGTAGTAGCGGCAGCGCGTTCCTCCGGGTGTCCCTGCGTGGGTATGGGTTCTGCATGGGCACGCTGTTCGTCTTCTGCCTCGGATCTCTCCTCTACCAGCTCAACGGAGGACCCCCACAAATCCTGCTAGACATCCGACAGTATCTCGGTAAGAACTTTTCCATATCTGCCTTCTTCTGGTTTTTTTGTCTGCTGTTCCACTGACACACACGCACACATGCACACATATCCCTTACAAAGACATGTGTTGCAGACCAAAACAACATCTGATGAGCTTTACATGTGTCTGGCCGAATGCCCGTTTTTATTAAATCCACTGTAAAAAGCTGAGTGGGCGCCTTCTGTTCATTCATAACCCAGAGGTACTGTAGCAGTACAAACAAAATTTATGAAGCCACCAGCCTGTAAAAAAAAAAAGTAAAAAGTACATTAACAAAATACTCATGAAACATCTACATTATATACTTTTGGCTTGTCTTTGCACGTTTTTCTTGTGTTGTGGTAACCAGACTTGGCAACTGTTATTATAAGTGTTTCTGTGCGCGCGTGCTGATGATAATCTTGTCGCTCACCGAACGTCAGCGCTCGAGCCAAATGAGCGCACGTAAAGAAGCACGTCAGATCAAACGTGGTTGTTCTTGTTTGGAAGCACATGTAGTTACAAAGACACACCCAAAAAAACTTGGCACTACATTTTTGGACTAGGTCTTGACTTTCTTGTTTTTATAAAGTCTCTCTTTTATGTGGCTGGCACCCCTGGGTACATATTATTCAATTCATTTTTGTATAGCCCTAAATCACAACAGTAGTTTTCTTTCTCTACAGAGCTGTCGATTCGCCAACACAGATCAGAGAATAAAACAGTGCAAACTCAGGGGGTTCAATGATTTAAAAAAAAACGAAAAACAGGGGCATGAATGTCCATAAATGTTATCGAAGTGCATGTCCTGGATCATCACCACTGTCCTTAGACCCTCTTTTTTTTCTTTGAAGCTTTGTGTTTGTTATTCAGCCTCCATACTAGTAATACACTCTATATGAAATAACGTGTAGGTTGCTAATTGATAAAGTAAAGTAAAGCTAAGAAACTTCTTCCACAAACCTCTGTCATGTTGGATTTATTTGATAAAGTCCAACAGTAGTGGTAGTAGTAGTTTATATCTTCGGTCATTATTAGAACTTAGGTCACATGTTTCCAAATATCAGATACATTTTGCAATAAAACAGAACTAAAACGTGTATACAAAGAATTTTAGTGCTAAATAATGCCTGTCCGAAAGGGTTTAGGCTGAAGTTGAGGCTTATACTGCCTAACCCCTGTTGCAACCATGACCATACGTCCAGATTAAAGTTATAATTTTAATACAGTTTCCCCCATGCCATCAAATCTTGAAAAGTGAAAATGACAACAATAAAAAAAAATACACTACTTTGAGAACCCATTTTCACTTCCTTTCCATGCATCTTACACTAAAATGTTCAGAATACAGCTGAGAAAAAAAAATGATAATGATAATTCAAATACATGGTGCCAAGAACTACAGAAACATATCCAGAACTCTTGACTTTGCACATGTCTCAGGCGTGATGTGCTGTATGTAGAGGAGGCAGCCTGGGCCCTGTGTGCTGTGTCTGTCTGTCAGATGGGCTGCAGTTGTCAGCTCTGAAGGGGGCCTTGCTCTTCTTCTTCTGTGTGAGAGAGAGTGAGGGAGTGTTGTAGCTGAGACCTCATGACCGATAAACATCTGGAACAGCAGGAAAGTCAGTCACCAAGTCCCTGCTATAATCCCACCACACTCTGCTTTGGTTTTGTTTTCTATTCGCAGTTCAACGCCACATGCACTGGGTCTGAATGTGCCCAGTGTAAAGATTTCTCTGCTCGGACTCAATATATTATGTAACTTTTTTTAAAACGTCACTAAGAAAGAAAGTGTTGGATTGAATTGATCGAGTTAAGCAACTTTTTCCACATAACTCTGTCATGTCGCGTTAAATGAATACAGTCATAAATGTAACAATATTGTTGGACTTGACTTCGAGTAAATTCAACATGACAGTTATGTGGAAAAAGTTAGGCTTCATACTCGGTGCTGGGGTAGCCATGTTATGCTGATCTGTAATTATTCATATTTATTTATATATATATTTCCAAATATGTATATGAATGTTTTTTGTTTTCAAATACATACATTTTAAAGGTGTATTCCTCAACTGTTTGGAGGCTACACACTGTTGTGAAGTGATCCAATACCTGCTTTCTGTGATTTGCTTTTTCTTTATTATTTGTTATCTTTATTGATACAAACACAACAAAAAAACGTACAAACACAATCTTAACATTACCCAGAACTATACATATTCCAGTTTTTTTCTCATTCATTTATTTTATACTACCCAAAACAAAAACCGACATGCACGAAAGCACTCTTGCTTCTCAGTAAGAAGGTAATGGGTTCGATTCCACCTCCAGAAAGGGCCTTTCTGAGTGGAGTTTGCATGTTCTCCCAGTAGGCGCACACACACACATACACACACACTAACCTCACTTACAGTATCCATCCATCCATTTTCTTCCCCTTCATCCATTTCTGGGTCAGGGGGGTGGCAGTCAGAGCTGCACCCAATACACAGAGCACCAGTCCTCACAGATCCTCCTGCAGGTGGTGAGTCCACAGGAGCCTTGAATATTCAGCAGGGGCTTCAGGCAAAATGGGGTTAAGTGTCTTGCCCAAGGACACAACGACAGCAGTCATCAGTGGGAGTCGTAAAGTAGGTTTTATGGTGGGTTCGAACCCACAATCTTCAGGCTCTAAGGCCAATGCTCAACCAACTGAGCCATTGTCGCCCCCACTTACAGTATATCTGAAGCTAACATGTACACAATACATTCAAGGATTCAAGGAAATTAAAATGAAATGAAACAACAAACAAACAAAGACACAGCATCAAAACTTTAATTGAGCACGAGGCACAATCATCATAAACTGTTTCTTTAATGGAAATGTCGAGAGGAGACGCCGGGGAAGACCCAGGACACGTGGGGACTGTGTCTCTCAGCTGGCCTGGTAACAGCTCAGGATTCCCTTGGGTGAGCTGGAGAGGGGGGTGTGGAGAGGGAAGTCTGGGCGTCGGTGCTTAGACTGCTGCCCCCGCGACCCGGCAACAGATTAAGCAGAAGAGAATGGATGGATGTATGGAAAGGACGCTCAGCTTTAAATTTTCAACATTCTTAAATTATGGAATTTTAGTGGGGAAAAAAAACGGTGTTGGTTCTCACATTGATATATGAAGTCACATGCTTGCTTCCAATGAAAAAGGGGTTATCAATGACAAAATGTATAAATATCCAGAAAAAAACAAAACATTTAGAACCCAAATGTGTCATGTAAATTTCTCCTTTTTAAGATCAATTAAGTTTTTCTTTTCTTACCCAATAAAAAATCTACTCCACCACTTTCACAGCTGGGGAATCCACCTTTCAGAAGGGCCTATATTATTGTGCAATTGCGTGACTATAACGTACAGACTGAAAGATCAATGACGGAACAACCGCTATGTGGCTTTTCATTAATGAGGTACATCGCGTAAAATGTCAAACGTATAAATCATTAAAAAATACAGGATGACATTTCAAAAGCATTTTATTTGATTGCTGATTTCATTATAATCAGATCAAAAATGTCTGTGGCTAAATTGTGCAGTGTTGTTTCCTGTATTCTATGATGGCTCACGCTGTGTTGTTATCGTGTGTAAAAGCAGTGGTTTGACTCCAGCGCAGGGGAAGTTATGTAAGAGACACAGAAGAGCAGAGTGATAATCCTCCTCATTCTCTCACCGTTTAAGTAGTATATACACAACCTGCCTCAGCCGTTTCCAAACAGACTGATTTATCCTCCCAATGCAATCAATAACTAATCACTTTGGTTCAATAATGTTTAATCACCTTCCATAAATGTGAAGTTGTATTGAATTTAGTCTTCTGCTGCTGGACACCTGCATTTGTCCTATCTCTCTGTCGAATTGTTGAAGCAGCAATAACTGAAATCAAGAGAATGTTTAATATCTATTCTGTAGTGTGTTGTGTGTTTTATTAGAGGGTGGTGTGGACTGATGCGGTCATAATAGTTTTGAATAAAGATCACAAAGGTTTCTATGTGAGCTTAAACTATATCTGCAGTGTTTTACATTTCAATTCATCCTCATTGTCACTATTTAAGAAAGGTTCAGGTTTTTTTTGGGATAGTTACTGTACCATTTTGTAATTCAGTGGGAATTCTTATTGACGTATTGACACGGTATATAAGTAAATAATGTAATCTTTTGTGTTTTGTTGTCTGTTAGGGTTGCACGAATTATCAGACATCTATGTAATTGCGATTTTTCCAGTAACTGTTGCAGTTATGGAACCAGGATAGGATTAGCCTGGTCGTACCACACCATAGTACAAATTACATTTTGCACTAAGGTCTGGAGGTGCTCCTTTTGCAGATTGAAACAATTGGATCTGAGTTTACCGTGACGTATGTAATACGCTCCGAGTAAGTCGTTAGAATTTAGCATTTAGCCTAGCCATCTCTTTTGCCGCTAACGGAGCCCGTGGGGAGTAGCGCCACAAATTTTCGCCATTGCCAAGCTACAACCTTCCCGTTCGGCGCAAACTCTTGACATCAACCACAACTAACTACAACACCCGCCTCCCGCGCACACTGATTGGTTGGATGAAATTCAACCGATTGTAATCGCAAACACAGGGACCAGACCCAGACTTTACATGTAGGGAAATAATAACTGAGCGGAGTGCACGGATGGCTAAGGCCAGGCTAGGATAGGATAGGCGCACTAAGATTATTGAGAGTTAAGGGCAAACTGAAACCTGAACTTATATTGGATTTGTTGAAATGAAATGACAAGCAGCAAGTTCTCACTTTAAAGTCCCACTGTGCTCATAACACAGTTAGAAAAGACTGGACTTTCATTTACCATTGAGTACATTTGCAAAAAGTAATATTCCTCAGGCAACAATCTTCAGCATGTTTTGTTATGGATAAGGATTTGCTCACAAAGAGGTGACACTTTTCAAAAACAATACTTGGTAAAAGCATTGTAATCCTTTCAATTATGTTTCTTTGGGATTTCTCTTTTTAAACT